CAGAGACTTTTCGCGTCAAGATAGGTGATGAATTTCGTTGGCTTTGTTTCATCATAAGCTTCACCCATATACGGACCATTTGTCCTTCCAAAGCGATTTGATATCATTAAAGCACCTCCCAGAATTCCTATTTAACTCGTGAATTGCGCGCATGCGCAAGAGCGAGTTGTAGATACGATGTGGGGAATGGCTCGTTTTGATAGTTTTTGGCGAGCAATAAACAAACGAAATGGCGACCTTTGTTGCTAAGAATAATGGTGGGGTGACAAAGAAGCCAATGATAATCTTAAAATAATTTTTTTTTTCGTTTTAGTTTCAACAAGCGGCGCCAGCGACCGGCAGGCATGCAAGGATTCACACTGAAATAACAAAACAACCTTCGTTTTTCATAAAATTGTAATTTACCAGCCTTGAACTTGAAAACAATCCAAAGATTCATTGAAAATATCACTTACTGTGAAGCGCTCGGAGTTTACAGATATTCAAAAGCTTTTCTGTTACGGCGTGAGATTGAGGACAAAATCGATCATTACGTTTCGTATCGTGTGTTTTTTTGTGTGAAACAACAGAAGATGCCGGCGACTAACGAAATTACAAGTTAACACGAAAATCAAATAACACCTAAACAAACAATTTTAGCTACCGATTTTCAGTGAATTTTTAAAGAACAATTTTCTTTTAAGTTTCAAGACAATTTGAAGATTCAAAATACATATTACGTACTAAAATGCGAAAGTTATACACCACAAAATTGATAAATAGGCCTGAAATGAAATTCTATCTTGTTATTGATTGTACGTTGCCTAGCGCGTGACTAAAATCTACCCAGGCGGAGATCCAAAATGATGGTGGCAGTCTTGGCTTAGTTATATCACTCAAAACTCGTTCCCGTTTGACTCATTTGATAAAAAGGGAATCGATAATGTTTTCATTAAGAAAGTATTGCCTTGATTTTCTAATATTTTCAGTAAATTTCACTTTTCACCCACATTTACTTCCAACCTTTTCTTTTGAACTAGAAACAGAAATGATATACGTTTTAAACACCTGACATCATCCACCCTTGTCAAATGAAATAGCATGATCATTTCAATTGCAATGCCTTCTTATCCCAACGTTACTTTGTTTCTCTGCTACATTAGCGAACACTGAACTACTGCTCGTACTCTAGATATGACAATCAACCACAAAATTCCCTAAACCAGATAACATTAAACGTAATCCAAAAAATCATATGTCAATTCACGAGTTTGCTCACAGAGCTCTTTGATTCAGTCATAAACAACATATCAGCATCAGTGAGTAATTCAAGCTCATCGTTCGTCTCTTTCAGGGCAGAATCCCAAGCCAATCCAGGAGTGGTGTAATACTAAACAGAGTCGAGCTTATAATTCTCATGACAGACCTTTCTGAATTCTTCAAACACGTCTGCCGGTAGGCGAACATCCGTTTTGAGATAATGGTCATGGTAATTACCTATCGCCTTCATGTCAAACTCTTTCCAGACCTTCTTTGCATGCTCATAATCTTCATCAGATATCACAGTCGTTCCGCTTAGGGTAGAACTCTTCTTTGGATGGCAGTTCTGTTGCATTGAACTTTTCAATGCTGCTCGTGTAATCATATGGGTACACACCTTTCTGCGAGATCAAGTCGATTTTACCTTTGAAGTTTCCCATGGTTTCCTTAAGCTTATCATGACTCAAGTTTGCGACTTAACTATTGAGGGAAGAAGCAATAAATAATTTAGAGCAGTCAACAACAACATCTTTGCTAAAACTGATGTAATTTTCCTCATTATTTGGAATATATTTAATGTTTCCTTCAGTCTTGCCGAGATTCTTAACCAATAGATGAGAATCATAACCAGCCAAGTTGTGAAAGATGAATTGAAGGTTGCATTTGTAGTGGGCTGCTCGACGAGACTTCCCAGTGAAATGGCAGTGGTATCTCACCTCATCAGCCTTTGGCCAGGCCGCTAACAGCCATCACTGCAGATCCAGCTGTGTGTTGCATCATGGAACTCGCGCCTATCTTCATCTGTGAAGAACATCTTGGCAAAATCGAATTCCCTATGAATATTCTTGATTTCAACGAAGATCTGAGCAACATCTTCATCCTCGCTGTTTTCCCTATAGATGACTGGCTCTTGTGAATAAAGCCGTGAAATGGAAGATTTGATAGCAGAACCCGCATGGTTTGTGCTTTTGATATTTCTTTGTGAAGCTATCATCACTACTTGGCTCATAATCACTTACTGGTTTGGTAAATGCCTAAAAGTCAGCATAAACCATTGACCATAAGTCATTGAGCAGTTATGATTCTTGAATTTCATTATGCTATCCTTATCTGGCATCTCGTTCCTGACTGCCTCGTTTCTCGAACAATACTCTTCATGGAGTGCAAACTTGTTTTGCTTGAGAAGTGGTTCAGACACCTAAGGCAATATTGTTTTGCTTCCTTATGCTTTGAGGTTTGACTCGAGAGTAGTCTACTGAGGGTCCCCAATATATTTTTCGGGATCCGGGATTGGGCTTATTTGAAGGCCGGGATCCGGGAATCTAGAGAAAGAGGGGAGCAAGATGCGGGATTGTTATTATGAACGGGACACAGGAATCGACGATTTTAAGGGGCGGGACTCGGGAAATAAAAAGGGAGGCCAAAAAGAGCTGCACAAAGGTTGACATTCTTATCTAAGCACGTGCCATGTACACAGCCATTGCCCTTTGCTGTTGTTTTCTCTGCGACCCCTCAGTGATATCTGGACATTCTTAGCCTTGCCCTGTCCTGTAATAGTGACCTTTGATTTCTTGGTGACCAACCAATTTGTTAATCGGCGCGAGGAAAATAGAGGATGTCAGCTACTATCGAAAGCGAGGAATCGGACTTCGGCATAATGGACGTAGTAAGTTGTGTGGCAATCTTTTACGAGAAGGGGAAGGGCGGATTTGCTTTCTGCGGAAACAAAAATTTTGGGCTCAGCTTTCACGAAAGATGGTCTCCTTAAAGGCTCTCAGGCAAACAGTTAGGTAAGTTACGTTTTTTTAGTTACCATGTTAGAAAACCTATAAAAGAAACCCAAGAAGGCTATGTCAGATATCCTAGTAGAATTGGAAAAGGGCACAGGAGACCAGTCTTTGTCTTTGGTTATACCATTACCAGACAGTGTTCACGTCAGCGAAAGTCTCAAAGCTGGCTTTGCTAATTGGTACTTGAAGCTCGAAAACGAGAGGGTCAATCTGGCAATTTTCAAAACTTTAAGAAACAACGCAAGTCTTGAAGTAAGGAAGACAATGCGAAAGTTGCTTCCCCGAAATGATCATGTACCAAACAAAGACCGCCAGGATCCAGCGGGAGTAATCAGGCTGATAAAAACTTATCGAGTACCTCCAGCAGCTGGACTTCGTAAGCCACACAGTTATCCCAAAAATGGATCACTTTACTAAGCGCAACTGAGTGGGAATGTATCCTCATCTCATAAATATTTCCGTGGCTCCCTTCAGTAGCCTGCCGTTTCTCACCCTGAAACAATAAACGAGTTGATCAAATTTGAATATAGCTCAGTTGCACAATCCAGTTCAAAAAGTTGAGGTTCTTAAAGAGTCTGTTGCTGTCAAAGAAGTCCTCTTTAGGAACAATGTCGTATTTCTAGCTAGCAATGACGGCCCAATCAAATTCCACGAGGTGGTCAAAGGAAGCCTTTGCGTCGATGTCAATAAACTAAGAAACCGTGGCGAAGTGTTCGAGAAAGTAAATGTACTCGGCCTTGCTCCTGGCGGAACTGTTGTCGAAATGAAGTCTCGTATTGAGAAACACATCACTGAGTTAAAACGCGATTATGAAGCGATAGAATTCCATTCAGACCAGATCAACGTCTTGGATGCTGAGAACCAAAACCCTTTCTAATTTGAGGCTATTCACATGGTTGATGCTGGTTTCGTCTATGGAGCCTGCGCGAAAAGTTATTCTCTTCTTGCCATCAACTTGAAGAAGGATGGGTACGGAATTCGTGGGAAGGCATCACTACTGACCAAGTACGAGGCAGATTGGCAACATGTTGGTTCGATGTGTATCCTCGGACAATGCTTAAATACCTCCCATTTTCAGGATATTGACGAGATCTCTCTTTCGTCTTCGACTAGGGTGCGCGTGATTCGTTATGACGTTCCATATATTTCACTGAGCTCAAGTAAAATTAAATAAACCATCCAAGTAGTGAATAAATAACTGAAAATATATGAAAATCATATAAACGTGAACTGTGGTTGAAGAAACGATTATGAAAGCGATCCTTGATCAAGATTTGCCGGTATAAACCATAGGGATTACGGATTGAGAGAAAATTTCAGTCGGGATCACGGGATTGATGAAAAAGCCTATTGGAGACCCTCAAGACAATCTCTCGCTCCACTAAGGAACGCGGATAAAACAAAACAAAACAAAACAAAACAAAACAAAAAAAAAGAAAGAAAGGAAAACAAAACAAAACAAAACAAAACAAAACAAAAAAAAACAAAACAAAACAAAACAAAACAAAACAAAACAAAACAAAACAAAACAAAACAAAACAAAACAAAACAAAACAAAACAAAACAAAACAAAACAAAACAAAACAAAACAAAACAAAACAAAACAAAACAAAAAAAACAAAACAAAACAAAACAAAACAAAACAAAAAAAACAAAACAAAACAAAACAAAACAAAACAAAACAAAACAAAACAAAACAAAACAAAACAAAACAAAACAAAACAAACGCAACTATTTGATCTCGGCCGATCGCTAATGGCGCTGATGCAGTTTATCTCGAGTCGCTTGTTGTGGGATGCACAATTACCTTCATCGCATACAAGTTCCCTATAAAAGATAGAGAGTAGGAAGATGGAATGGGAACAGTAGGCTGTACTTTATAGTCACTCTCTGATAATTTATATAGGATTCTTTGCACTCTTTGTGCTTTTGTAAGTATTCAAACCGCAGTTTAAGTCTTTACTTAAAGTCTGAGAGGGTTCACTTTATTTATTTTTAAGTGGTGCTCGCTTATTTTGCACGAAATATATATAAGAATCTAATTACGTCTTAGCATCGAGGAATGGAGAATGTCACTGGTTGACAAACACTGAAACTAAATTCACGACTTTGAATTGGACATTGAATCTCCACGCTCCTTTACATAAAATTTGCATTCAGACTAAATCAGTGGTTAACGTATCAGTTCGTATACAGCTCCACATTTCCTCGATCGACCTTTGCAGAAACACCAGCTTCCCGGAAGCAACGTTTCAAACGGAGGACAACTAGCACACTCCTGCAGAACCGAAGCTCAACGGTACGTTGAAATATTTTAGTGTGCTTGAGGTTTAACGCCGAAAAGCTTTTTCTTAAATTCGCCTCTACTGATGACATAAAGTGCTCTAGTGGTTTATAAAAGTGCCAAGCTGAGTGACCACAGCGGAGTCCATGGAGTCCATTGCGTACTGGAAGGTTTCATGTCCATAAACTGAGCGACACTCTTGAAGTTTGTCTCGAACGAATTTCCACAAGGGAAAGCAGTGCACAGGACTTGATAAGCTCAGCTGAAAAACAGAGTCGTAAGCAAACACAGATAGATTGATTTTGTTTACTGAAATTAACATGTATAGCTGAGAACTTATTCCGCCATATCTCGGCTTTCCTCTTACCTTTCCAGATTATTTGTTAACTTTTTTTTGTTATTTTTCCCATTACCATGAAACGAATGGAAAAAAAATTCAAAACAAAGTACTCAAGTGTATCTGACTGCGACCCTTTTTACTCGTTAAACGATCACAATCGTCAATCAAGGACGAAATTCCTTAGGACACATTTCCCCACCGAACCACAATACTTCAGGAGTTCTTTTTCAATCTTGCAAAATTGAATTAGAGGTAAACTTGGAGCTGGTATCTAGTGGCTTGATAACTTAGCTGTCAAGCTCATTATCTGAGTACCGCAGAAAGGTGAAGGGTTCGAATCTGTTCAAGGTTGTATTTTTCAAGCTTTCTCTAAAAAAACTTTCTCGTTGCAATTACAGAAAAAGTGATCTTCCCTTTAAATTCATTTGACGTTTTTATTCTACCTTAGTAGAATGTTTTGTATACCGCTTTTTTATTCAGTGTAAAAAAGTCTGAGTTATAAAGCTAATTCGAATTTAAACGAAGTAAAAAGCCAATAAGTGAATGGAATTTCACTTCCATCCGTCTAAAGAAAATTTATCAAAGATTGTCATCTATGTATGTTCTGGAACGATCCTATGGAAACTTCTTTATGATGCACTTCCCGTTTAGTTCGAATATTACCTTTCGTTTCCTTTTTTGTTCCTCGGTGTGTTCGTTACCATCATCGCCATCTCCAACAAGCACCACCAAACAACTAAAACACACAGGAGAAAGGATGACCGAATTGATAACCCTCAATTGCCTCTAATGTAAACAATACTATCGCAGAGAAAAATATTCCCACTGTGATCCTTAAACATAGTAAAGACAAAAGTTCGTAGTGCTTGAAGGTCAGTTGTAACAGCCACTCCTTCTAAGTATAATGTTAAAGTTAACATCACGCATCATTTCATATTGGAGCTACTTAATATTATAAATTGCGTCATATTTACAACCTCTACATGGATTTAACACGATACTAGTAATAATCATAACCACTGCAATTTCCTCAAACGTGATTGGTGTATTAGCTGCTTTATTTTTCACTTATCATTCTGTATAGTCGTAATCGGACAGTTGGGTGTATATCGGACAATTAAAGCAGGCAGTCATACTAAGTCCACTCAGCTAAATTTACCAATCACAGAATTGATCACAATAACCATAGCAAAAAAGACAGGGGAATTTTCAAAATGGAGGAATTTTTTACCTTAGACGTTGTCTCTACCGGAGATGTATGTCCTAAATGTATTTCAGTGTTTTTTTCCGAAATTGTAACAGTTATGATAAACTGGTAGAACTTGTGATTTACAAATTGGACTCCCGCTTCGCGGTCGTCCGATTTTGTTAATCACTCGTATGATTACAGAAAAAATTGGATTCCACTCGGTCCTATTACCATTATTGACAAGATAACCTTTATGGTGACTGGTCGAACAACAACTTCTCAGTAGGCAAGCTCGACTTCGATGTCACGATATAATATTGTTCTGCTGTACTTGCATTAGATAAATTTTGTGTTACGCCGTACTCGTTCTAAAAAGAAGGTGTAATATTACAACACTAAATCCTACAACGGCTCGACTATCGCATGGTCATTTTCCTCTCTCCTCTGGTGGCGAATGTAAAGAGATTTGAGTTCATAAAGTACCTTTATGAAATTCGTAACACTTTCCCAATGAAACCATCAATTAAATGAAACAAGCTTTTACTTCATTGAAGACAAGAGGCAGCAAGAAAACAAAAAAAACAATCTTAATGCTGCGGTATTAAAATGACATAAATGTCATGAAATATGAACTTCCTGAAATTATGTTTATCACAAGTGAATGTTCCTGTTTCATAAAGAATAACAATTTCTCACTCAGTATGCGTTCCGCCGTCCTCCACTCTGTGAATCTCATGTAGGACATCAACAGCAGCATCCACAATGATTGCAAACTTTTGCATGACACAATTGCTGTTGCGAAAATTAAAATGAATATCATTGCTAGGCGCTCGCCTTTTTAAGAATACACCAAGTACAATTAATGAACAAATAAAAGGGTGTATGGTGCTCAAATCACCACTGCCCCTTTCCCTTGACTTTTTAATAAGTAAAAAAACTGTCTTACAGCACATTCAACGGCAGCAGCGTCATCAGTGACAGCACAGTGAGTTTCCTTCGTTCAAGCCGTGTCATGCAATCCATCTACACAAAAAAAGACAAATATGAAGGCAATAATGTCATTCTCATAATGAAACAATCACTGGTTTCAAGTAACACCATAAAGGAAACAATCAACATTGAAAAAATTTTCTTTACATTTCAATACAACTTTCCGTAATTCTGTTAAGAATCAGTTTAGGCAATGAATATAAAAACGATAAAATCAACACTAAGTCAGCCACCAAAAAATTGTAAGATGGAAGCATTTCAAATTTCTACATGTTATTATTTTGCTTACTTTGTCCAACCATATCTCGAGAAGCTGGCTTAAAACGTTCCCAGCCTGGAAAAGATCAGAATTAATGAGCCAATAAACTTGGAAAAGATTTCATTGAGAAGCAAAGTGACAACACCTATTTTGATTCCATAGCACTTAGTCTATAGCAAATGATCTGTCTTTGAGCAACTTGGGGACTTTGGCGTACGAGGTAGATCTCAGTTGAGCAATCCATTCGCCCTTGACGAAGGTCTCGGTTGGGGGGGGGGGGTGCATGTACTTTTTCGTGAACTATTACACGTGTTAACACAACATATCCATCTGCACATTCATTATGGGGTACTAGGGCAACCATAGAACTATAAACATTAACAGTTTTATCATCACTGCACATACGACTTGTGGCGAAGTTAATATATTTTTCTCGCTTACGCACCTCTAGTAGAAGTTATTCAGGAAAATATATCACACACTTTTGCTTACAGCGCTTCCACATTAGAGCTTGCACTATTTGCATGAGGCATCTTGGGAAGTCTCGCTGCAAGGTTAACTTTTGGTCGAACCAGGAACGCAAAAGGACATAGACAAAAAACGATAGTAAAAGAACAATGCAAGATTCACTCAAGCTCCTCCCATACCTGGATGCTGAGCTGCTGTGCAACATTTTCGACCAGATGAACAAATGCATGGTAATTATGCAAACTGATTTCCCCAATTATGCACAGGTAGATAACCAGAAGAGGTGTGTGTTCCTAACCAAAACAAATACATATCTTGTAATTTTACAATTACTAACCCAGAAATTACAATTGTATCAGAACGTAACATCAAGGAACATGGCCCTCATTACTTTAAAGGTTAAATACTAGTAGCGGAAGGAAATGATATGGTCATTATTTGATACGTCAGCATTCAAAAATTATGTTTAGCGCTAAGTGTATCAGGAGTTACGTTGCCTCAGGTTTGTACACCAGCACGATTGACTAAAATAAAGTTGAAACTCTACACTCGATGCTCCCAACTATCGTGTATCGACAATCTAATTCATACTCGATCATTAATCATAAATTGTGAGAATTCATGAGTTCCACGCCATTACAAAAATTCAAGAAGGGAATGAAGCAACGCTAAGCGCTAAGCAAAAAAAATGTTATACTGTGATGTGGAGAAGTGATATTTTATGTGAATTTTTTCCATGATTTATTTAGAAATGTTGTTTCGTAGAAATAAATACTCTGGATGCAAGTTCGGACACAAGAGCAGCAAAAGACATTCATGCTCATATCCATGTAGGAAATCACTGCAGAGCATATTTCCTTCTCAGAGTCATTCATTTTTGTCTTCCTCTTTCACTGATTCTTCCTTAGGACTCCTTACGGTCGGGTACCAGGTGCAAGCAGGAGGTGTTTCTCCTTAACATTTCACTCACAAAAGATTCTCTTAATTTGTCACTGCACCTCATCCAAATTGTATGAGGCACATCTTAAACATCTATATGTCTATGCAATAGCCTCGATAGACAACGTTTTGACCTAACAAAGCTTGGTGGGTGGTGGTTTGCACTCATCTTTTCATTCTCCTGCTTACTTTCCCCCTAATCTCTTTTAGCCTTGGTGGATCTTGTCACGTCCAAGCAGTCCTTCATAGACAAGGATGTCTCCCTAATCCCAGCATACGGTAGTTCTGTCAGTTTGTACTGGTCTGAGTGTCTTTCCAATATTCGATCGATCCAGCTGGCAATTATTCTGAGACCTCTTGATGAACAATGTTAAAACGATTGGCGAGGTATCCTCCATTCATCCGAGACGTAACCTCGTCATTATTAAAAATAATTCATTGATGTGACGAAACCTTTGAGGTCTTCCTCCAGGTACAAAATATAAATGATCTCTGAAACATTTGTGTATCCATCGTTATAATTCTGCAAGAAGCCTGGTCTTGGTTTTAAAAAAGGTCTGGTAGTCAGGTAGTCCTGTGTAAAACCTTATGTCCGGGTCAGAAGCCATAAATTTACTAACTTTAAACTTCTCCACTTCTATGCACTCTTTAAGCTTTCTTATACGCTTTAATAAATGCTCAATCTCCTTTTGACATTCACATTGCAGTTTTCTGTATTCTTCTGCGTTTAGTTCTTGAAATTCAGGTGCTATTTTCGCCTTTGGGTGGGCCTCTGTCGAACATTCATTTCTAAGAGTACTAATAAAACTCTACTGAACTGAGGCGGGTATATTGTTAGATCTATACTTATGCCCGCCGCAAAAGTGTACACAACACACGGACGACTTTCCTTCCACTTGTAAGCAAGCAGAAACCTACTTCCATTTAAAAGCCATTCAGAGTACCTTCCAGGCATTGCGAAACTGTTTGTTCACACCGAGTTGGTCGATTTACCCAGAGTCCGTGCACGACGCCATCTTTTTCCGTATTGTGGTTCTGGGAGGGCTTCTCTACAGTTGAAGACGCAAGAACTCATTTGCAGTAGGATATTCAAACGCAGTGTGAAATAAGAAGAATACCTTTATTTGCTCTTGCCCTTACTTTCCGAATGGAATATCAAGCTCCTCATTGTAGAAAATCTCTTTTGTTTTTCTAAATTTCAAGTTACAATTTTTCTCTTCCTCTCCCCTCTTCGTGTTCTTTTTGTATTGACGCGCGGCGCGCGTGATTTCACAAATTAGCCAATCATGTCAAAGAACTTTAACCTTGACATTGGAAAACTGACGTGGGCATTTCTCGCGAACTTTTAGTTTTGTTTTCGCGGAGTTTTAATTGTTTTTGAGGTTTCGTTCGCGTAAATTTGTCACTCCTTTGTTTGGAAATTAAAGACGTTTCTGAGTTTCTATTTTAGCCAAATGTTGTGGTTCATTTAACAAGTTTAATACATATTTTCTACGGAGTTTGGACTCTAGTCTCTTTTTTGGTAAATGGATCTTATACACTCACGATAAAAGAACTCTTATAGTCCGCAAGTTATTGCATCTCAATTGCTTGCGTGCTCCTAATGCTAGTTATTGCGCATGCATTATACTTATGGGGTCCCATATCTTAGGATCACTAACAAAAGGATTCTACCATGGTAGGAACATAATATACTCTCACGCGAACTTTTCTCGTTCAACGATAACCTAGAGCAACTGAGCTACATTGCATTCAAGCCCTAGGGCTGACCCATCCACTACTATAATATATTAATGTTGTGAATGATCGTAACATGATAAACTAAGATAAGATATTTCCTAAGGTCTTCTTGTTTCATAACTGTTAGTAAGGAAAATTTACCTCAACCTCAATGATCATGTTCAATATTTTCAGCAACACTGGTGCGAAAACCTGAGGACCATCGAGAGGAGAGACTTTTATGATAGTTTCAACAACCTGATAGAACCAAATAAAATAAAAAACATGGGCAAGCAATAAGAGAATGGATTTAAAATACCGAGGAGTGTTACATCTCTCACAATGTTACTTAAGTTACATTTAGTTAAAAGTGTAATATTAGGCACAGCTACAGCTTTATACCAAACGTTGGATCGGTGAAATATCTCAGAATCTCTAAATGCTCTGAGCTCAGGGCTCCTATTGATAGCAGGTTACTTTCAAGCACCTGGAAGAACCACCCTGAGCCTTAAAAACTGAATATAGGCCTCTGTCTGTCTATCTAGTAGGAGAACGTACCAACTTTGGCAACTTTAAATAAAACTAGGTATATTCTGGGTTTTCAATTCTGAGTAATTTTTAATTAGCTTTTCGAAAACACGACGTTGTTGTGTTTAATTCGGCATAATTACCCGTTAAAGTAATGCACTTTTCACTTTTTATTATTATTATATCACCAAAAGTTAATATGTATATAGTTATTAATTGATTAGAAAAGGAGAAATTACTACATTGCACCACAGAACTGCTTCGAGAGGGCCCTGATGGTCCTCTCTCGTCTGAAGCATCAAAACGGAATTTGCTGTAAATTTGGGATTTGGCATCTAGGTGTGATTGAACTTTGATAATTTTAAGGAAACTCGCCAGCAAATAAAAAGCTTTTTTTTTAAGAAAACAAAAGATTCAAGTCAATATTGCGGTTGTTAGGAATAATTGTGGTGGGAATAATATTCTGAACCGTGAGAAGATTTGAAGAATGTGGCCATACACTTGCCAAGAACCAACAGTTAAACAAAGGGCTTCATAAACTCTTTTTAGTTGGTGTGAATATTAGAAACAGGGGCAATAGTTCTAAACGTGGTAAAACTGATGCAAAATTAAAACTACGCCGAAAACGTCTGATAGTAGTCTCCATTCCAGCTTTTATTTGGGATATAACCAATGCTCACCCAATCTCAAAGAATTACTGTGAAGGAGACTAGTCTGAAGGCAGCTATTGCTTTTATTTCAGCAAAGCTAATCTCTATAAATGTGTTCTGTCAAAACCCTTCTGTTAGAGAAAGGAAAGAAATATGCATATTTTTTCAAAACTTGAAATTGTTTGCAGAAGCACTGCTAGTGGATTCATTAAAAAAAAGGCGGAGTTGGATGCACTTTCAGTGTTACATAATTTGAAGATGTTAGGAAAATAAAAATATGCTGTTCTTCCTCTCATGCCCAATCTTTATCTTAAATTATTTTAGAACATAAGACTAAAACTAAAAATTTTAAATAATCAAACTGTTCTTAACCAATTATATTGATAGAAATTGAATGTTGTTAAAATATACACCCCTACCCTAGAAAGGATAATGCTGCCCTCTGGTTTTATATTTCCAAGCATTCTTAAGCAAGCATCCACAACAGGTGCACTACAATTCTGTCAAAAGAAAGAGGGTTATTAAAAAAATGACAAAAGAATAATTTGCTATCACTGTTAATTTACAAAACGTGAAATTATAAAATCAAACCTGGAGAAATGTTCTTGGATCTAACAACACATAAGATTCCACGATGGCAAAGCATGTTCTGAGGTTTTCGGAGCCTAATTCTGCAATTAAGGTGATTTTAGTAAAGATTTCAATGAGATTGAAGGTGTAAAGGAAGTGAAGAAAAGTAACAAAACTATAAACTTCTTGCATACAGTGACAGTTTCAAGCAAAAGTCAACCACCCTTAAAACTTAGCTGCTTCAAAAGTTTGAATGGAGTTTTGGTATGGTAGCTTTGGGATGGATGCATTGCTTCTTGTGGTACCTCTTGAAAATTATAAGTATAGGGCAGAGAGATGCATAGCAGCTGATTCCACCTTACCTAATATATGACGAGAAATGAACTAAAAAGCACAAAGTGATGACTGTCTTATTGAAAACGTATAACACTTTCACTGACCCAATAATGGTGGCATATTAGCAAATAGCTGCAACAATTCAGGAGCCATACATGATGCATTCATCAAAACATTGTGCCTGCAAATACACATCATACAGAAAAGTTTAATAGATGATTTTATCAAAAATGTACACTTTAAGTCAGTCAAGCCGATCACTTCACTCAAAAAGGTGCCTTGTCCCATAAATACAATGATTAAAACTCCAATATGACAGGAACCACATAATTCAGGATATTCTGAAGCACAAAACGAATTGCATTATCCTCCAAGGTTTCATCTTTCTTTAAAACCCTCCACAACTCAAGTTTCTCCCTAACTCAAAGGTAAGTTTTGCTTCATGTATTTATTTTTGCTTTCATAATTTCAACCTTAATAACTCTAACCTTGTTACCTGAAGCCCTTTTCTTAAAAAGACAGATTTATTGGAATCAATTGTAATTAATCAAATAAAGATGTCATTCACTAGGCATAGATGCTGAAAAGTAAAAGGGGAAACATGGCTAACAGGGAACAGTTTATTCTCTTTCATGAGACTGAACACATCCTTCACACCACAATTGCTTATCATTCAAGTTTATACCTGCTATGTCCACCTAAAGATCTTGTAAGGAGTACAACTATAATTTGTGTTGAGCAAGTTTCAAACAACCTGCCCCTTGGGCTTGACCCAATGTTTTTCACACCCTGGGATACACTATGGCAAGATCTTTAAGTATTCTGGGAACTGATGTTTCCTGAAATGGTGTCTGCCTCATTGTTCATAGCCAATCATGACAAATATTGTATCTCTTCACACTATCTCAAGCATGTGAGGCTTATCTTTAAGTTTAAATCTATTACAAAATACTGAAGCAGCAAAGAAAAGTATTACCAAAGGTCCAGTCCATCTTCCATTAAGTAAATGTGTGATGGCTTAAAAAATGAAACAGTGGCAAATAAAAGATATGTTCACCAGCAAGGTCATCTTCTGTGTAATATAATTTAATCATGGATTGTATATGTAAAGTATGATTTAAGATTCTCTAGTATAGAATAATTCAAGTGTAGTGGAGTATGATTTAATTAATAATACAATGAAATATAATATCTCTGCATTACTGGTCGACCATGCACTTGGGGGCAGTGAAGTCATTCTGTCTCCAGAAAATGTTAAATGTCTCCAAATCCTTACAACATGTAAGAGGCCAGCTGACCCACACCTTCACTCACTTCATTGTTTGTTGAATTTCTGTCCCTCATTTAATTGTGCAAAAGGATTATTTTCTTATTAAATTTGTTCAACAATCTAAGAGCTGTTTTCAGCAAAATGATTGATTCTATGTGCTGTGTGGGGAATTTGGAAAGTACACTGCATCTAAAATAAACTAGTATTGCATCAATTACCTGAGAAACATCTGTACTGAGCTGAATCAAGGGCAGAAGGAAAGGGTACATCTGTTCACTCCATACACCTAGGCCCTGTGAAACAACAGAGTTATCAAAGTAACTTTAACAGCAAATGTCACAACTCATGCTTGGCAGATACCGTCTTCATGCCAAGGATACATTTATTTGATGGATCTAGAGATTAGTGGTTTACTGGGATAATATCTTCTATACAGTTGGTGACTAACCCAGTTTTTTTTGCTAGTATGCCATGTATGATTTATTTAAATGTATAGTAGAATCAAACCCTATTTGGAGCCTGGAACATGTTCCAAAATATTGCAAAATTTCAAGTTGTTGGCCTATGGTAACAGCTGGGTTTAAAAGTACAACTAAGCTGAACAGTCTAATAGGAAAAAGCTTTCCTGGCTAAACCATGAAATGGTGAAATGAAATGAAATGAAATCTGTGCAGTCTTTAGAAAGACTTAAGTTGCTAAGATCATGTCGTGGTATAATATAAGAAGTTTTCATCCTTTGCCAAGACTGCTTTCATCAAGTTTGAAGGGTCTTTCTCGCCTGAAACACATGCTCAGCCAGTGCCCCATAATTGTACAAGTAGGTTTAAGAGAATAAGTTAACATCTTATTTTTCCAGGGAAGATTGTGTGTTGTGTATTTTTCTGTTTCAAACAAAAGTCTTTTGTGGTACCCATTAGAGGCATTGAAATTTTGAAATAACCTTGCCATTAAAATTCAATATGGATAACTGAAAACAAGACAAAATCTCTTCAGACCTCTACAAGATGAGTCATTGTGGAGACAATTGCACATTGAAGCATGTTATGGTCACCAGATGCCTGCCACAACTCGGGAAGGTAGATTGAAAGTGGGGAAGCAAATGATTGGACCTTAAACAAACAAAAAAACCAACATTTATTGGTTAGTTCTGGTGCAAGCTGGCAAGGACAAGCTGTCAATGTTTGTGCCACAAGCTATGTCTACAAGCATATGGTACACAAAAATACTTATAACAATAGCTCTATGACAATGCTATCTATATCAAACAAACATGACATAAAATGGAAACATTGTACATGTATCAAAACAAAGAATTTCATTTTTCAAAGATGATAAATAATTCCGCAGACCTTGCTTCCTATTCGTTGAATAAGTAATGATAACACATGAAGCACCTGCATCTGTAAGGAAATTGTATTAGCATACAAAGGATAAAAAAAAATTCAGACATATTCATCCAATACCTCTGGACATCTGCCGTACCCTCCACTGACTTTCTCTTTTATATTTGTTATCTCACAGGTACAGCATGCTCTTATTTCTGTAACTGTTCTGGTTGTAATAGAAGCATCTTGAAAACTAAGACTTCAAAAACAAGGACACACCACCCCTTGAAGTCAGATTTGTCAGAAAGCAATCTCTTGTTTGGTAAAAGTTCAAAAAGTCAAGTTCATCATGCCGATTACAATGTCAAGAGAAATATATCTACTGTTGCATAGCTAAACAACTCAAGTACATTAAGTATAAGTGCTACTGCTCTCTAAGTTTCATTGGATTTTTGGTATAACTGTATCTTTACGCTCACCTTGAAATAAATGAAATGGATTTTCTTAATTGCAAAGTGGTATACCAAAGTATGGTTTTTACAGTATTAGCTTTTGAGGTCATACCTTTCCAACCACTTCTATGAGCAGACAACAAAAGACTACAAAATCCTCTTGGACCAGCTTCTGATCAGATCACTGTATTATTATGTAGTGTTAATCTTACTGATTAAAAGGAACTTCTGAAAAAGGTACCTTAGTATCACAATCATTGGTACACTTGAGGAGGTTAAATAGTACTTCAAAGCTTCCATCCAAAAACTGAAATTGACATTCTCGGTGAGTTAATTAACAGCTAAAGAAGCCTTGACTGAGCTCCGTTCTGTAGTAAAGCATGCAGGAAGCATGATCTAGAGCACTTAATAAGTGTAGAAGGAAACATGAGATATAGTCAAAGTGTTTCTCCCTACTTCGTGAGTGCTCTCGCCACTTCCTAAGTGCTTTGCAACAGAAGAGAGCACAGTCAAGGCTTCTTTATTTGTTTTATAATAAAGAATCTGTCAAAGTCCCCACACATTACCTACTATTACAAATTACTTACAAATTTGAATTTTCACGTGACCAAACATGTCTTCAGTATGCTCTATACTGTCATAAAAAATGCTACGATAGGCCAATCAGAAGCCTACAGCTGTCAAAAATGTCAAACCATCAAAGTTCACAATCTGCCAGAGTTCACAATCTGCAATAGTTCACAAACTGAAATAGTTTGGCAGGTCAAATTTAACACTAATACAGAATCTGAAAATGAAATGTTCAACAAAATCTGGCCAAATTGTGGCTCATTAAAACAAGCAAGTTTTCTTCACAAGACAATTACAATACAAACTGCCCAAGGTGTGTGTTTAATGTATAATCGTTTGTCTCATGAAATGTTCAACGAAATCTGGCCAAATTGTGGCTCATTAAAACAAGCAAGTTTTCTTCACAAGACAATTACAATACAAAGTGCCCAAGGTGTGTGTTTAATGTATAATCGTTTGTCTCATGATGTAGTCATTTGAGATGTAGATGGTAACATTTTGCCTATCAACGGCTAGTCTTCATCAGGTGATGGGGTCAACTGCTCATGAGTTACCATCTGTATCATGGTGTTCTAATGCTATTGGTGGATTTTGATCCCCATTCTACAAAGAGGTCTGATTTAGATTTTTTTCTCAGGAAACCACCGAGAGAACAACTTATTATAAATTAGATAATTGTAGAATTAGAGGGTTTTCACTCAATTAGTTTCCTTTTGGGAAATGTTTGATATTATTTTTGGACCTACTTTGCTAAATTCTAAATTGACTTTCTCTCTACATTAGTCTCAACTGCTTGAGTGATTGTCATTATAAGGTAAAAGATTTTGGGTTGTGTGCAGTCTTTTAAGCTATGTCCATTTTCACAAAAAAGGGAAGAACAGCATCATTTAAAATCAAACATTCTAGACTTCTGATCAACATCCTTAAAACTTAGTATAATATTCAATTGAATAACTGATAATGGGATTCACCACTTTACTTCATGAACACTTCCAAAGACATATAGTGGTAAAATGAAATGTTTTGCCTCAAAATGAACCTGATACTTAAAGTATACACATTATATTCATCCTCCTAAGCTATACCTGAACAAAGTCTTCTAGATAAAATTCTACATCATCAATAGCTGATAAGGATTAAGGAAATCATGGAATGGTTAACTTTGATGCCTCTGATTTTTTTATTTTTGTAAATTTGTCTGCTCTGAAGTAATCTAAGTTATCATGGGCCAACTCCTTCTTAGGCAAGAGCTTATTTCATGTAGATTGCCTACATTAAAAGAAATAAGCCCTACAAAAGTTGAATGCCATTAAAAAACCATTACATATTAAAGGAAAAGGCTACACTATGACAAAACAACCCTAGCACTGTCACATATAATTAAATTTTCTAATAATGATAGGGATATAATTATCATGTTACTAGTGGGTATGGCTAATGTTTTTAAACCCTTCCAGTATGAACTGCAAAATCTGTTAGCTTCCTTTCTACATGCAAGGCAGACTTAAATTTTGAAGCTCAAAGTGATAGGCTGTTTCTATAGAAAGATGGGTAATACATATATGGTTACGAAGGATACCAGTCTTAAGTGTATTTGCTGCAGTAAGACGGACCTAAGGAAACAAATAATAAAACTGAAGAACATATATAATCTCCTATCATAGGTTATGGGCCCAAACTGGTCAAGATAGCATATTCTCAAGGAAGAACTAATGGCAATACCTGCAACTGACATTAAGACAGAAACTGGACACACAGGTGATGAAAAATTTTTCTTGTGCCCATAACTGATAATCAAAGTGGCTATGAGTCACTGAAATAAAAATTAAAATCAACCTTGATTGCAAAAAGACAGTTTTTGCACATTTTCAAATCAACCTTGAATTTAAGGCAACTTGAATTTTTCAGAGGTGAATAATATTTACAATACAATAAATGGTTTGAACCCAGGAGTGACATGTAATAGTGTAGTTTGATCGTCCAGGGGAGTGTAGTCCTGAGAAGGACTGTTTTCAGTAGTGGTGACTGATGTTTTGACGACCTGAGTGGAAGTCATCATCAAGGTTGAGTGAATAGTTGTTTTCAGTTGAATGTTCTTAGTCCAGTTTGTGTAAACTGATTGGTCATATCATGCTTTGTCATCTCTCTTCTGATATCATCCATGAATTCATGCCCAGTATCAACCAGAAGAACTTTTGGCTACCTCAGTGATCCATGTTTATAGACTGTCTGAAAAGCTTTTGACTCTTCAGAAGAACTCCTTGAGGTGAGAGGTTTAGCAGCCTTGCATCTGCTTGCAACATCAACAATTGCATATGCGTACCAGTAGAATTTCTTACCTCTCAGGAGCCTTCATCAGGGTGATGAACTTCATTTGGAGATTCTACATCAAAAGTTGGTCTAGAGATATGCTTCAGGGCAGGCAATTAAATCTGCCAGATGGCTTGCTTCATCAGCCAAAGCTTTGCAATGTCCTATAACACTCCAGCTTCTTGAGCCAACTTCTTCACAGCAGGCAGTCCTTTCCAAAAGGCTTTAGGGCCATGGCAGATTCTTGAAAGTTTTCTTTCCAGTTTCTTTTGTGTTCACAAGAAATGACTGGCAGCCAATCCCAAAGCCAAAGCCATTTCTCTGACGTAGATCATTTCACCTTGTTTTTGTGAAGTACTTGGCTTGTAGAAGTCAGACAGTAGTGGTTTCCTCAGATGAAGATTTTGATTATGCATCTTGTAGTTCAGCTTCAAAGCATAATCCTTATCAACAAAATTCTGTTTTGCCTGCTCCTTGACTCTGGCATTAGTTGCAATCCTACTGTGGAGCTTTGTTCGATTTTTTTGATACTTTTTGTAGGCCACTTGGTACTTCTCCACTGTGAGATCATGCCTCCTTTTCTCTTTTTCAGCACTATTTTGGTCTCCACTTGTCTTGCAGGATAGCTTCCACCAACAAATGCAGTTGCATTGATTGATGCTCCCTCAATCATTATAATTGCCATGCTTGCCATTTTATTTATCTGCAACTTTATTGCTTGTCACTCTGCAGCCCGGCCCTCTGGGGCTCAGATCCTCCAGATGTTCATCATAAATTTTGAAAATTGATGACAAGTATTCATTATGAAACTTTCGATGAATTTCTTCTTCCATATCACTGAGATATATTAAGGCAGTCTCAATAATTGTGCAGACTGTTTCCAACTTAATTGCATTCATTGTGAAACAGCTGAACATTTTTAAGAGGGCAAAATCTTTTGTTCTTTAGGATACTTTTTGCCACAATTGATGCAGCAATAACAACAGTGAACTTAACATGAGATTTGAACTCAGATCAGAAGTCATTGGTTCTTTGATGACTTTCTTTGCAACCAATCCAATTGTAGTAGCCAGTTCAGTCAAGTTAGCTGAATTGGTCAATGTTTTAACAAGCTTATTATCAGACACTTTATTTCAACAAACAAAAAAATAAATCTATTTGTTTTACTCGCACAGGAATCTGTGTTTGTAATGGTTGAGCCTGTGGTTTTGGTTTATTAATGAGAGCCATCAACTCTTTCCTTCTATAGTACAGTCTGGCCAATGAGAGAGCTACACTTGCTACTGAAAGAATTTGAGTGAGTGAGAATGATAATGATGGTTCTGGTTGTAATCCTGCCCCTCTAGTGCTTAGATCCTTTGGATCTTCTGATTGCTTTAAACCCCCTTTCTTCTTCTCTTCCTCTCTGTTGTATTCAACAGGTTTTTTGCCCTGGGTCTTTGTTTGGTTTCATCTTATTTTTATCGGTTGAAGTCACCTGTTGAGCCAGTGCTTCTTCAGTATAAGATTCTTTACCATCCATTTTATTTGTTGATACATAATTTTAAGTTCGCATCTAAGTACTTACAAGTTTTTATCAAGTTCTTATGAAGAACTTGCATACATTCTTATTCAAGTTCTTATTCAAGCACCCAGTAAGAACTTAATCAGTTTCTTAACTAATGTTATCTATTTCCTTATCATTAACTGACTTGAAGGGTACTTCAATACTTTTGACAATGAGAAGAGCAGCACTTGCGATTGCCATGTACCCTCCATACTTCAGACTCAAGTCACCAGCAATCATTCCAAGTTCTCTCTTTACCATGAAGTTATCATTCAAGTCCTTCAGAAGTTTTCCTTCTTTAACAGGGAGAAAATGAGCCAATACTTTACATGAGAGCTGAAGGAATGTATCAACCATACAGCTTGAGCATTTTGTGATGAAGAACTTCTCTCTCTTTATCATTAAGATTTGGAACAAGTTTTTCTACATTGTTTGTCATCAACATCTCTGCAGCAAGTGGATAATCATCATGAAGATTGTGTAGCTCTTTTGGATATTCAAGATCAACTTCAAGGATACAAGGAATATCTTGCTAGTTTTCAAAGTCAGTCATCCACTTTAAAGCTACAATAGGAAGAGGCTGACACATTGCCCATCTATAGAGATTATTCCCATATAGATAGGTGATGTACTTTGTTGGCTTGCTTGCATCTTAAGCTTCATGCATATATGGTCTAATTGATCTTGAAAATTGATTTTAGATCTCTGAGATTCCTTCATGAATTCCTTTTTCGATCATCAGCACCATGTCTATATAAGTGAGTAATTCAATTTTTTGTTGAGACACTTTCAATAGAGCATCACATCTGCTAGCAGGAGGACATCTGTCTGGAGATAATGGTTGTGGTAATCACCCATCATCTTCATGTTGAACTCTTTCCAGACCATCTGTGTGTGCTCATAATCTTCATCTAAAATTCCACAATCATTCAGCTCAGAGTATAATTTTTTCCTTTGGAGGTAAACTCATTTCATTTAACTTTCAATGCAGCTCATGTAATTATATGGGTACACAGCCTTTCTTGAGGTGAACTCAATTTTATCCTGAAGATCCACTCAGTTTCCTTTAGCTTCTCAAGACTCAAGTTTTAAACTAATTTAAAAAGGGAAGAAGCCATGAACTTGAAGCTGTCCATGAAGCGAAGCTCATTTTTAACTTGAACTTCTTTTCCTTTCTCATTTCTGACTTTTATAACCATAACATCTTTGCTGAAGATGACATGTTTTTCCTCATTATAGGGAATGCATTTGATGTTTCCCTTGCTTACACCAAGATCCTTAACAATTAAATAGGAATCATAGTTTGCTGAATTGTGGAATATCACTGGAGTAGACTTTGGTGTTCTGAAGTATAGGTTGCATATGAAGGGGGCGGCTTCATGATGCTTCCCTGTGAAATTGAAACGGTCTGCCACTTTGGCATTCTGCAAGATGGATATCAAGATATCACTCTTTGAAATTTCCAGTTGCCTCCTCTTTGATCAAAATTCTGAATTCTTTTGTCAAATGTTTGCATGAAAACATCAAATACTTCTGATTCATCTGTTTCCCTTAGACTTTCAATTACTTTGGTGTGGAAAAATGCATCTTGAAGCTGGACTAATCCATCTTCATTATCTCTCACCATCTCTCACAAGAGTATCAGCTTAACCTTCATTTCACAATTCTCTCTCGTTATCCTCAAGACTTCTGGTTTGGCTTTTTCCATGAACTCTCTCCATCCAAAACCTTCAGTTCCTTCAATTCTAAATTGTTTAATTAACCTTCTCAATGTGCTTGCTAACTCGCAAATTTCAAACTGTTGGGTTTTGTAATTTTTAATAAACTCATTCCATTCAGCTTCACTGGATACGTCCTCTGAAGAAGACCTTCTCAATCCAGGCATCTCTTCAATTTCTCTAATTTCCTTTCTTCTTTGTTCAGTTACTTCAACTTGAGGTCTTACAGGACATATCTTGCTAGTGTTAGAACTGGTGCATCAATATTTGGAACAGGATGGTCAACAATATTAGATATCAACTCACTCAAATCCTGTTATATAGGTCTTGAATATCTTTAAAGTCTGACCATTTTGCCTCAGCTCTTAATGATGGAACCATTTTGTTTTCCACTTTTTAAACTGCATGAAAACAAATTTTTTTCAAAAAGTTTGTACATGTTATTAAAATGGAAAAAAATTAATTCTAATACACACAAAAGAATTCAATGAAGTTGCTAAAGGCTGTGAAATAAAATACAGAAACAATATTCCAAAAAGAGATGAAGAATTATAAGTGTAAAATATATTGTGTGACTCTTATAAGAATAAAAAGATGTTCAAAATCTTGAAGAATACAAAAGGCATGAGCTGAAAAAGAAAAATTACATTAAGTCTTTTTTCCTAGCATGCCAAAAATATTTCAAGTTTATTTTTTCAAACTTGTTTGTTGCAACAGACAAGTTTTGCTGCTGGAGCCAGGGGCTGTGGAGCCATGCAATCAAAAATGCTGATAACAGTCCAGCTGAAATCAATCCTATCTTTACCATATCTAGATTTGCCTTGCTGTCGCTTGTACTACACTTCTCACCTGGTGATAATTTTGACTTCAGCTGAATGTTTGTTGAAGTTGAATTAAATTCATTTGAAGGGCGCCTCTAGAGGCCTGCCCCCTTGGGGCTTGCTGCTCAGTGGCCAGGCCAAAGGCTTGAGAGGTTGGCCTGTTGATCTTTGATGAGCCCCTAATTAATTTGCCTTACTCCCACTGATTTCATCTCCAAATTCACAGATTTGTTGATTCTAAGCTTCATTTCAGCAGTTGCCTTCTCAAGGCTGTTATTATACCCAACCATACTCTGGGTGAAGTCATGTTGTGCTTCTTTTGTGCTTCCTGATGAACCCAAGATTGGTGATCTGACATTGACTTGTGCACCAAGAATGCAATAAACAAATGCCTCAATTGACTGATTAAGTCTCACTCACCATACCAGCTTGTGTCAAACCTTCTGAATTGTCTGCCATGAAAAAGCCAAATTGCCTCTCAACTTTTGCATTATCATTCCTTCGGTGGCTTTTCCACCCTAATTGCTGAAATTTTTTCTTCCACAATACAAGTAGGTTGGATGAATGAATTCTGGATTCTGTGATTATCACCACATTTGAATGGGAAGTCTGTGCTTGGTGAAATTCCAAATGCTGCACATATTCGTTTGAACAATGATGTGTCATAATAATTTATGTGGCAGAAAGTTGGGTCACCATGAAGAGCCAATTCACTTTGAATTCCACTCATCTCAAAGAGAATCCTTCTGACGGTGAAGTAGATGCGAAACATCACAAACAACTTGATCTGTTCTGGAACCTTATAGAGAACTTCACAAGATATTCCACAGCTTGTAGTTGTGCATCATACTGCGAAGTTGAGCTGTCAAGGCCAATAACTCATATTTGGCCCTGCAAGCAATCTCTTTGATTCTATGCCCGAAGAATGCTGAGTTTTTGTCCCTGTGAATATTCCTCTGAATTTTGCCTCGAAGTATTGATTTGGGGTAACAAAGATCTTTATCTCCTTGTTGAAGTGGCTGACAGCATTCTCATTAAATGGAACTGGTGACACCTCCTTCTTTCCTAGTCGATTCAGAGTGAGTTTAAGGGGGAAGAAAACCTCCAATTCCAAGCACCTTTTCATGTCATCATCCCTATGTCTTCTCTCCGATCCTGAGATGCTTGACTGAACTCCATCTGATCAATTTGAGTAAACTTTAGCTGTTGCCTATCTTTTATCATCAAATGACACTTGCATACTGAACTTGCTCAGGTCTGCATTTGGATATTGTGCTTTGAAGTGATTCCAGGCTCTTCTCTCTGCTTTATCCGCAATTTTATTTGCTTCATCTGATCTTGGCCATACAAACCTCACAGGGTCAGAATTCAAAGAGTTAAAGATTTTTATTGCTTTTATAATCAAAATGGTTGTTTTTTTGGTTTTTGAGAATCATTCAAGAGAATTGTTCAAGAGAATCATTTGAGATGATAATATGCACACCCTCTTCAGAACTCACAACTGAGACATTGTGAACATTATGCACCTGTGAAAGATTCAAGTTGCCCTGAAATCAACCTTGATTTCAGGGCAAAAACTGTTGATTTCAAGGTTGACTTGAAATCAAGGTTACATTTCACAAGTTGCCTTAAAAATCAAGGTTGTTTTCAAAATGTGTCATATTCCCCCTTTTATATCTACTGGAATTATAAGAAAGAGTGCAGAGGCATCTAAGCTGAAGTTGCTTCAATCAGTTGCAAGTGAATATCTCGTAAAACATTTGATAGAGATATTACTTCCTGAAGCTTACCAGCTTAAAGATCAGTTCAGTAGCCTCAGCACTCTTTCATAATTCTTTTTCTGAGTTCATTGTATAATGTTCAATTTATCTTTAACAATCTTGGCCCAGCTAATTAAAGCAGAACATCAGGTTGCTTTATGTAAGCACTGGTGGTGTAACTTACCTTTTGATTAGCATTTAGCAGAATTGTTTAATTATACTTCCTTGTCCATAAATTCAATCCCCAGTGGAAGCAGATTGCAAGGGTGAGTGTTTCTGGTTTTGTTATATCCTGAGCTTACTCATGGATTTAATATGTCTTATGGAGCATTGATGTCTTCTAGACAATGAATTTTTTTTTATCAGTTCCCTGCCTTTTAGAGGACAATATTATATATTTATCACCATGTGCTGCACAGCATATTTTGAATGAAAGCACTTTAAAGTATCTGCTCAAAGTTGTGGCTGATTTGTTTGATTATTTGCCCAGTAAAAAGTTTTAGTTAACTAGCAAACATTGCACTGTTAAAGTTATGGAAGGGTGATCCTGAACCTGTGGTTAAGCAATTTTGGTCTTGTCCTACTTAGGTTAATTTTTTGACCATGGAAACCAAGCTCAGACATGTAACCATCCATAACAGATGTTATAAATGTCAAAGGAAAAGTTACAAATAAATTTGTATTAGTTCTTCGAAAAATAATCCTGGGCTTACCACTAAATCTTCTTGAACATTCATTAAATTGAGGAGTACTGGGTACAATACAGTCCTGGTTTGACGAGCACATTTGACATTAATCCACTGGCCTACCATCCAAATGACACGACGACGCAGAATCTTATACCTAAAAGATGACCAAGTAGCATGTGAAAGTATTGCATTATTGTTTATGTAAATAAAGAGTTCTATCCAGGGACTGAGAAACTGCAACTCACAAATATGTATATGAGATCTCAATTAGATGCTATGTACTGAGTCTTTTTGCACCCTAACTTCATCTTTTTGTATAACAGAAATCTATGATATTTTCTTATTTACAGGGGAACACTGATTTAATTTCTAAACATATAAGTGATCTTAGCATAATATACATATATCTAGGGAAGCCTGAAGGCAAAGCTGTCATTGGTTACTTTTCCTTTGCCCAAGCAAATATTTAGTTTATAAAAAAAGGACAAAATGATAACACCAATATCTAGAATGACCCACAGTACTGTGCAAAGGTAATGTAAAGAAAATGAGCCAATTTCATCCTTCTTCTTGCAAAGTTTTTATTCGTAGTTTGAGCAAGAGTTAATGCAAATACTTTAGTCTTTTAAAGAAAGATTTCCCTGAGACAAAGAGTGCCATTTCTTCAAATTTGTGTCACAAAACAAAAGTTTGAAATAGGAAGCTTGTTTTTGATCATGTCTGCTTCAAGTTCACTTTGCAAGACAATGAACTCAATGAACTACTCAAGTGCAACAGTTCATTTAGAGTCCCCATCTACAACACAAGCATTTATTCCTTTACAATAGTTCAGTAGTTATCCTCAATTTGAATTGTTTTTGATTGTTTCAATCAATTCGATTTTTTTGTAAATAGTTTTCATAGATCCTTTCTTTTTTGGAAGAGTTAAGATCAGCTCCTCAATTCAATTTACTTTCTTGCTTCTGGGAAGCATCACTGTGCTACTGATCTTGTAAGAACTGTTGTGCTAGTTTGAATCTTTTCCGAACTGTCTTATCTCTCCTTCCCTTGGAAAACAGCACTCCTCTGCCTGAAGGCCAATTTCTGTGGTGAACATTCTAGTCTACAATCAACACTAAACTCCCAATTCCTACATTGGGTCTTGTCTGTTTTGCTCTCTCTTTGAGGATTGGCAAATACTCTTTCAGCCAGGGCCTCCAAAATATATCAGCCATGTACTTGATGCTGTGTACATCATCTTTATTGAACCTGACAGGAGGTAAATTTTGGTTGGCCTTTAACACCATGTGGTTTGCGGGTACAGGTCCCAAATCTGTTGGACTGCTGCCAACTGGAGACAATGGTTCAGTAGCTACAATTGCTTGAACTTCTCTTAACAAGGTTTGCAGTGTTTCAGTGGAGATAGAAAGAGGAGAAGGATCTCAAGTATAGATCCAATTAATTGTTCCCAAACACCATCAAAATACGAGGCTGCAAGTGGTTTAAATTTCCATCAAACATTCTCCTGAAGGGGAAACTTATGGATGGATCTCTGATCCAGTCCTTGATTGAATCATGTATCTCTCTATAATGAGTACACAAATATACTCTGCTGTCCTCATAATTAAATGGTCTTTGGATATCCTCTTAGGCTGATAAATGAGTGTACAACTTTGATATAAATGGCTCTGACAACTAAACAGATAAACAAGTGTGTAGAATATTTCACACCCCAAATACCTTGACAAACAAAAAGGGTCTGAAGTAGTCCATGCCTACATGGGTGGATATCCTGACATAAGCCTTTCCTTTGCTACAATATCAGCCATTGACTGATCCCTAACACTGCACCAAACCTTTGAACGGGAAACAGCTACTGAATTCTGACTCAGTTAGAAGCTGACTGTCTAGGGATGCTCCCTTGTGTTTTGCAGCACAGGCAAAAACTCTTCTTACGGGGCTTGTTAACAGTGGGTGGTGAGGCAGTTATCACAATTACTTATTCTCAAAATGAAGCTCTTTTGTTGGTGGCTGGATTATTCTTCCCACACACTTTTTCATAGTGACTTTGTAATTTTCAAACAGGTCCCTGTCTAAAAAAGTTTTTTTAAGCATTTGCAGTCTCCATTCTGCTGTTGTCAATCATCAGGCAGGAATGGTATATGGTATTTTGAAAATAACAATCTTCCAGTTTCACTCATTGTTCCATGATTGCAAGAGCTCTCATGCCATCAGTTGAAATGCAGGCTTGGTGTTAGGAACTATTCTGGACTTCTCCATTACTCAGAAGCTTCTGAGCTGTTGCATGAGACAATTGTCATCATCTCATAGCAGGTAAGGAAAGAAGATTGAATTTCCATAACATTCTGGTTCATTCAATTTTGCCACTAGGCTCATTAGTGTCCAGCTAAGAGTTGCACACCCCACCCTTCTTCCAAAAGCCATAATGCCTCAGGAGCATTAGTGCTGATGATCGCCTGAACTTCTTTTGTGCCAATAATTACCCGCTTGATGCCATTAAGGGGCCATTGTTTTGCATCTTTTTGAGAAGGGAATACAGGACTGTTTTCAGCTCTTGCCTGGACCTTGATAACTTATGCAACAAGACTTGTTTGCACTGTTCATCTCATCCACATATCCAGTCAACTGATGGTTACAAATTATGTTTGCAGTCTTTCATCTAATCTGCCCATGCCAAAAGTATCTTACAATCACATGGCTTCAACAAGGGTTCTTCTTTGAGCTTGGTTATGTATCTAGAGGTGATTGTCAAAGGATGTCCAAAGCATTCTTTGTGGCTACCCAGTCACTTTGCCTACATGTTAGCTTGGCACAATCAACCCATGAGTTGACCAGTTGTTGGTGAGTTGACAGCTTGCTGGTAGACTCCTCCATTAAGGAGGTGGTTTTAGCCCACTACAACATCAAGGATATATATGTTTTTGTTTCTTTTGCCTGAATTATGGTATTAGACGAGACATTTAGAACATTCCTCCTTGTTGAGTTGGTCCTGGCTTTGCTTTGTTTTTCAACCAAGGACTTTTTCTCCTTTTTTCATGTGTCATGATGAGAAATTGTTTCATCTTTTTTAAAACATACAGCACCACAATGCTAGTGTAAACAAAGCTCAGTTGAAATGGGATCTCCCAATGAAGCTGTTTGCCACCGAAAAGTTGCTAAGGAGTTCATGTCTAAGTGAGATCATGACACCCTGAATGTTTATTACCTTTTATACAAAAATACATTATACTCTATCGCATGCATGCATTTGACCATTTTAATTTAAGTTTTTGGAGAAAATATGGCACAGTAATGATGCAATTTTCATTTTTTTGACAAAAGTAAAACACACTTCACTTTCTGAATAAAAATAATTTCTATTGGTTCACTCAAGCATTGGTAAACTTTCATTATATATTGAGCAAATTTTCATAAGGACTACAAGTATATCTGAGGAAAGATCAACATTTCAGTGACATAAATACATGGCTCTCCATACATTCATATGTACAATGTATATTTCTTTCATTATGCATGATAAAAATTAAGTCAAGCATCTACCTCTGGAGTCCTGTTCACACAAATTACGTAAAGTTTTAAGTATTAAGTAAATATCATAATGAAAACTAAAGAAATTGTACAACAACTGTACATAAACTTGGAAAACATTTGCATTCTATGCAAATTTTCAAAAAAGTGGACTAACTCTGATGAATTTAATGTATGTAGATACACAAAGTACAGCTTATCTTAGGATACAAATAGTAGTTTGAGTAAATTGAGAAATAAGAATTTTGAAAATATGGAAAGAATTTAGAGTAAATAGTAACAAATTTCAATCATAGATACTATTCAACAGATCTTTATAATTGGACGCAAGGTGATTTTACATACAAAAAGAGTGCATTTTTGAGCATGGGTAGATCGTTTTATAAATATGAATTAAGGAGAGCAGTAAACAGCTTTTCTTAAATCCTTAATTAGCTTTCAATTAATTCTTTGTAGCAGTTCTTTGGCTAGTTTTTTAGATTGGTTTGATTTGTCTTGAAAGACAAATAATCTTCCAGCAAAGAAGAGCATTTCTGTTGTCACTTTTATATGCATTATATGCTGTTAGCACATACCTGGATGAGGAATTGTTTAATTCCTGAAGTAGTTGAGTTAGGAACCATTGATCAAAGTCAATTTCATCAAAAAGGTCATATGATGAAAGTCCACAAGCATTATATACTATAAAAATGAAAAAAAAAACTAACAGCAAATGTATAATAGTTTCTAGTGAGGCCTTAAACTACTTATTAAACTACTGTAAAATAAAAACAAATATTAAACAAGTGCAAGCTTCTGCCGATTTGCGGTATGAAAAGGGAAACTATCACACCACTAGGAAATGTTGCTGGGAGACACCATGAAGTAATTGTAGTGTTTAGGGAGAAAGTCCTATTGTAAAAATTGTAATTCGGTGTGTGTACAAGAAGGGCCAGAAAAAGCATGGCATATGTACATCGATGTTACAATACCTGCATCTTTCTTTAATAGGACACTTATGTCATCAGATGGTGGGGACCCTTAAAGGAAAAAAATAGGAAAAGCTTCTTTTATTTCTATAATTTTTTTTTTATTTCTTCTTTCTATAAAAAATATAATGATAAAAAAAAATCATCATCATTATCATCTCATTACACAAGATATATTATAAGAAGGAAGTCCTGATAAATTTCTTTGAGCTGGGAGCAAGTTTTCAAAGGCACTAACTAAAAGATGTTTGGGGATATTCCATTTGAACTAATTCTTAGTAGAAGAGCACAGATACATGTTGAAGGGGTGCAAAAAGGCAGCAAGTGAGGCAATTTTGTTATATCAAAGGTAATAATTGAGTTGCTTGTTGATAATAATGATTTTAGATATATGAAATTCATATATTTGTACTGTGGTGAAGAAACGAATTTAAGAGATCCTCACAGCTAAGAACACTACTGAACTAGTAGTTGAAAATAGGACCTGGAAAAAATTCAGGCCCGTACGGGATTTGAACCCATGACCTCTGTGATACAGGATTAAAATCTTGTATGGGATTTCAGGTCCTATTTTTAACTACTAGTTCAGTAGTGTTTTTAGCTGCGAGGATCTCTTAAATTTGTTGTTGATAATAATTCAGTCAGAAGCAGAGAGTTCAATTCTGTTACAATTTTACAATTAATGACATCAATCTACCTCACCTTGCAATAATTTAATCATTTCAGTGACAACTTGAGTAACAGTGCTGCGGAACTCACTGAGAAGACTCAAATACAACACCTCTATACAAGCCTAGAGAGGATTAGAAAAAGGTAAAAATTTGGTCTCCTTTTGTCAATTGTCTTGTTGCTTGGTAATAAACAGGACCACATGTTTACTTGTACCTATGTTTATTTTGTAACGAATTACTTGAGATACAACACACATATAATATTTTACATCAACTTTCTGTGACATTGAGATGAATTACGGTCAACTCGCCGACGGACCAACTCGCCGACGCCAACTCGCCGACGTATAAAATCGAGTAGAGACGTCGGCGAGTTGGTCGTCAATCCAAAACAACTTATTAGAAGTTAAACATACAGAAAATTAAACGATATTTAGTAAAAAAACACTGGTGAACATCTAACAGAAGCTTAAACATTGTTAACATCTTAAACGACGTTAACATCGCCAATGAACAAAATTGGCTGTAGACGCGAATGAGTTGTGTGAGTCATTGGTGATGTTTACTTCTCTTTATTCGCCTTGAGATCCTTATAAACTTTGTTGCAAATAAAAAGAAATGCTTTTTACCAAAGATCTTGTCTAGAAAGCCAAGTTTTCGTTAAAAAATCTGAGCGATTGACATGATGAGTCTTTACGGTGTTGTTGTCGCACAATAACTCGTTCGCGTCTTAAGCTGTTATAGTCATTGGTGATGTTCACCAATGTTCACCAATGTTTAAGCTTCTGTTAGATGTTCACCAATGTTCACCAGTGTTTTTTTACTAAATATCGTTTAATTTTCTGTATGTTTAACTTCTAATGAGTTGTATTGGATTGACGACCAACTCGCCGACGTCTCTACTCGATTTTATACGTCGGCGAGTTGGCGTCGGCGAGTTGGTCCGTCGGCGAGTTGACTGGTTACCGAAGACCCAGAGAAATAGTATCCCTATAATTTAAGTAATTCGCTTAAAAATTGGACAAATAGTACTGCTGATGTATGTGAAATTATTAGAATTATTTGCATTTTTTGAGAAAAGTTATATGGAGCCATATCCCGGATAAACAGATTTCATCAAAGATTATTGTAGAAAATACTCTTAACTTGCTATGCCATGACATGAGGATATCGTTTTAAATCTAGTGCAATAGTTAGAAACATATCATAAAATAGGTTCTGGTTAGTCATCTTGGTAAATAACACTTTCAAATGAGAAATATAATTGTTTGTCTCATGATGTGGTCACTTTAGATGTGGATTGCAATCTTCATCAATGTACAGTTACATTTCTCTTTTGAAAGAGCTGAAAAGATGTTAAAAATCTCAACTCTAACCTATCACATAGAACTTCAAGAGTTCTTTCCATACACAGCATCATGTTGTGGTAGTTAAGTTGATGGTAAACTTGGCAGCATCATAATTTTGAGACAGCTAGATTTTTATTGGTTAAAGTTAACTTAGCAGAGAGGCCTTGTCTCCTAAGGAAAATCCTGGATTTGTAGGAAAATCTACTGAGAATTTTCTATGACTTTCCCAAAAAATGATGTAACAGGATTTCCCTATAACATTAGCATAATAAAAGCAATTGCCATGCCCAGCCTTGAGTGCTCTAACAATAGTTAGTCAGAGCATAGGAAAACTGTTTCCAACAACTTTAAGTTTTATGTGAAAAATGTATCTTGGCTCTATTTGAACAAATCAGCACCTTGTCTCCAGGATGTAAAGGACAATATTTCCTATGTCATTACTATTTTGTGTTAGAAAAATATTAGGTCAGGTAAACAAGTATTCAATTATCCTCCTAGTAATTGAGATTGATTAGGAAAGGAATTCTGTATGCGACTCTCTGCAAATAGTTACACTGGAAGTAAAGATGTTGATTCAAACAAGGAACTACAGGTAGGTTTTTATGTGTGCTTGGATTTTGAGTGCCTGAGTTTGTGAGTTTATGAATCTTCAGCAGGTTGCTATATCTGAACCCAATGCAGAGGTATGGGACGCTCACTCACAGCTTGCCCAAAAGAACACAACATTTGTTTTCCAGGAATTTCAAAAGGATGCTTTTGACAATTTGAAGGGTATCAATATTGTCGCATCTGTCCTGGCTGTTTCTAACAAGGAAAGCCAAAAGCAACTTCTTAGAGTTGCTGTAAGTACAGTATTGCTAAAAAAATATTAAATGTGCAAGAACTTTTTTTAATCCAGAACTTCATCTTGTCCCCAGTCAGGTTTATTTCTGCTTGAGTCTTGGCAACCACAAGAACTTGTCTGTGGTAGATTTTCAAAAAGGGTCAAATGGAAAGATTTCCTTTGGGGTTCTTTGAGGTAGCCACAATAACAGAAACAGAGGTGAAATGAGAAGGTGAAGCTTTAAATTACAAGCCACAAGAAATGTCCAAAGTAGAACAACTACCACCACATCAACAAACCAGATCAACTGCACCAACTCCACAAAACAACGACAACCACAGCAAACACACTTGCCATACCAAAAACAGAAACAGTTCCATAAGCATTTACAAGATCTACTACTACTGCCATGGAAACTTCATGAGCTACACCAATTAAATCGTTTATTTGGTGTAGAGTAAATTTGTTTTGGTACCTGAATCTAAATAGCTGCATGATGTACCAAATGACTAGTTTTTGAACCACTTTTATGGACAATAGTATGTTAGGTCTTAATTGTAAATTGAGGCTACATGCTTCTTGATGTTGAGGAGATATGAAAAAGTCCCTTGTTTATACATTTTCCAGCTTCAGCAACGGAACTTGCACATGTACCCATAACAGTATCACTGTATATACATGTTTTATAACCAACACAATTCTATTTATCAATTTATTGAACCATCATTTGTAATGAAAATGACACTACTGCAATAACTACTTAGACTATGGCTTTTACTAAGCTAATGCAGGCTCAGTGCTATAACATCACATGAAGCAACATACCCTTAGATTATATCGCCATGATTCACCAGCCTCTTCATTAACTGTGAAAATGAGATACTGGTAAGACATCTCTGTTCATTAATACTTTACATATGCTATTCTGATACTCTGCTCATTAATGTTTCAAAAGGTATGACTTCAAACATGTATTATCAATCAAATGACAAAATAATATGCTCGAACTGAAAGTTTGAAGTAAAGGAATCCATGCCTTACCAAAATTTTCAGGATCCAACTCCCAACTTTTCAAATCCTACAATGTAAATCATATACTTATGGTCTACATCACAATTTATCTCTTCCCATGGAGAACAAAGTCAATTAGAAAGCTGCAGCACATTTTTATAATTGCAATGAGTAATATCATTGTCATTAGATAACTTTTTTAATCATTTTAAACAGTTTTATACATCATAAAAACTATTCGCAAGCATTCATTCTTCATAGCTATTGGACATAAATACAATGAAGAAATGAGGCCAAATTTAAGTAAAGCATCCCAATGATCACAGAACTCTCAGAAATGTCTTGTTGAAAGTCATAAAAGAAGAGTGCATGGAATTTGTTACATTTTTTTCAGTTGAGATATGTAAATAGCCACTGAAGGAATGAAAGATGCTGAATTTCAATAGACTTAAACTTTAATTCAAACAGGGTGTAGAAGTAAAGCTGATCCAACCCAAAAAAATAAAAACCAAAAATTAAAAAAAATGGCTACTGTTTCAGTCAAGTTATTGCATCATAACAATACAGTAAAGATTTTTTCTCCATAAATCAATAGCAGTGTATTTTCCTTGCAATACCGTGCTACTGTAAAAAAAAACCAATACCTTCCACTTCTTTCCAAAAGTACAGGTGTGTGAATGTCTAACTACATAAAAATGTGGTCTTAGATGCTTATACTCATAGCTATGTTAACTTGCCTCAGCAGTAAGAGGAAGATAAAATAAAATTAGTTGCTGGATAGTTTCAGATAGCATTGGCGGTGTAAAGAAGGCAGTCTTAATCTGGAAGGAAAATTGAGCCAGAATGTTTAAGAATTTCATCTCAAAACTTAGAAAATATTAAACTTTTTTAAGGTAAAAATGGTATTCACTTTTCCACTAATTTGATTGTCTTAAATGTACATCACTGGGTAATAGGTGCACAATCTTTTGTCAATATTTTGGCAAAACTGTAAATTTAAGTGCCAAATGCCCTCGCCTAAGTCCTCTGCCATATCTCTTCAATAGGATTATTGTTCAACTAAAATATTGCTACGACTACGATGTATACATCATCAAGTTCATGACACACAGGTATGATCACAATATATGTAACCAGCAAAAGTTTGCTAAAGTGATTGATCATGTTACAAGTGATATGTTGTCATTAAAACACGGTTCATCTTACATAGAGTAAGAGCTGTGTATTTTCAATATCTTGTTCAAGAAAAATTACAATAAGACTCATCTAAAAACTCTTCCACTTTGTGTAAAATGTAAGGAACATAGCCTCTCTCTGCTATGGTGTCCATTCCATGCCCTGAAAACTCCTGAATGGAGTAATTCTAAATAAGACAAGCTAGTGGGGTTCTGCTGTGGCCATAACAGATTTTTTACTGCATTAATTACTATTCCAAGTTAATAGTTTATTGACAAACCTGGTGTGCCTTGAGGATCTCTTTAGGAGTTGTTTCTATAATTTAGATTATTCTGTGTAGTTAGAAACCTTGAGTAGCTGAGCTATAATTTATGGACACAAATAACCTGGGGCAGTCATGATACCATCCTCAACACAGTTTTCAAATATATTGAACATCTATACATATGTTTAGAGAGTCAAGTTAAAAGCATGTCTACATGCACCACTTTCTTTTACATCCATTCAACACTAGTATCAATTGTTTCTGTAACAAGAGGAGCATGCATCAAATAAATGTACTTTATTGCATGCAGAACTACAAGCAGAACTGATGATCCCATCTAGTCAGATATAAGTCTGCTTTAATACCTTAAAGTTTAGTACATTAAGCATGTCTTGTATCTTCAATTTGGGAGGGAGTGCTATGTGTAAATGAAAAACCAATCATCTCCCAATATTTCTTCAAATTAATGTCTGCCCACTTGGTAATATTTTCTACTTAAATACTAGTAGTCAGGGAGCAGATACTGAAAAAAAAAATGAGTTTCACTCAACCATTGCCACAGGAAAGTACTGATACTTGAATGTGATAATGAAAGACCTACTGATTAAAGTTAGGTGCTTTGTAGACTTGAATTGTGGTGTACTTTTAAAAATACAGGACAAAATGGCAAAAACTGATAGATGATCAACCTGGACAGAAACAAGAACATTGCTCTTTTAAATAAATTTGTGGGCAAGTTGACATTAAATTCAACCCTTTAAACAATCAAAGTTGCCAGCTCTGTTGCAGCTTCAAGCATCCTGGATGTGATTGCCATTATGATGAATTTGTTTCTTTATTTAATCATGTGTGCTGCATCTTTGTTGGCATACGTACTAGTGGCCCTTACCTTTAATTTCTCTGGGAGGTTGGTACATCTCACACTTGACAATCATTTTGATAAGCTTACAACACTGAAGAGCAAATGTTTCGAATAAACATGCTGCAAAAGAGTGATACAACCTTGGTATAAGCGTCAAACTTGTCTTTGATGAAAGATGACTTTTCTCCCTTTTTCTGTTTCCCTTAACAATGGAATAAGTGGCTAATGATATCTTTTAAAGTTTGTTATCATTATGACAGTTTAGATTAGATAATTACATGTATTCCAAATTGAAATCATAGCTACTTAGGCAACTCACCTTTCCCTTCACTTGTAAATAGGTAGTTGTAGCAGAGTTCTAGTACAGGCTGCATTAGTGGTAAGAATGATAATGGATGGTGTTCTTGGCTGTCTATCAGCTGAAAAAGAACAGTAAGCACTAAATTTCAATGTTAAAGTTCATTCTATTGTTCATTTCTCATATACTGTAAACATGAAAACACTTAACTGAAGTCTTTCAACAGTTACTTTCTAACATGGAAAATAGGAAGGAAGTCCAAAAAGAAGCTGACAGCTTATTAACATTGGTTCATTCAAGTGATGTGGATGAAGGAAAGAATAAACTACATCAGATGACAGAAGTTTTATTCAAAGTTATGTGAAAAGGAAATTCTTGTAGCAATGGTTTGAAGCTAAAAATGTAGACGATAAGGTAAAAACACAGGGAAGGGAATTCCAAGCCTAGGAAGCCTAAGAACATTTGTGAAGGATGGTGAATTTGATCATAGAACAGTTCTACACAAATGTATTCATTAGGTACTGGCATTTTGTGCTTTGTACTGCGTGTATGAATTTGTTGGTGAATAGAGAGAAGAGGATCAAACCCCTAAGGAGAGAGATGTTAAGAGTTCAAGCAAGAGAGGAAGCATAAATATTGAATATACCAAGCACATTTAGGTAGAAACCAAGCTAGACAGTGGTATGAGTGAGATATTCTGCTCCATGGCAAATCAACTTTGGAGAGGGAAATTTCCAATTATAACACAGCTGGCAAATTACCTGCCTAAACTCAATGGTGCAAGTGTGCTTCATAACCCTATTGTGCATGTTAATGACTTCACCAAACAAATGCCTGGAGTTCCTCAAAATATTTCTACCACTCATTTTTGCCTTACCTTTTAGCAAGCAGTTATTTGGTAAATGTGATGAATGTGCAAATTGATTTCTTAGTAGATTATGACAAAGGCTATAATTCTTTTAGTTTGGGAATAAGTTTTTTTCACCAATTTAATTCTATATTTTACTTACTTTCTGGGTTATGAGAAAACAACATCCAAAATAGTGCATTAACAATGTTGTAAAACAATTGGTTTATACATCAGCTATGCATGCATGAGGATATGAAGCACTTAGGACGTTTTGAGAGCATTGAAGAGGCCAGAGTTGCCCACAGTTGTAAATCTAGCCACTCATTCACTTCTCTTGAACTCTTCAAATTTCTTGGGTGCTTCATATCCCCTTGAATGCACACTGACACATAAACCAATTGTTAATTTAAATTAGAACATTAAAGTTTAGTACCCCATAATGTTAGTTTGGGAATAAGTTTTTTTCACTGATGTAGTTAGGCTAAGCATACATTCTATAGGGTACATATTTGTTCCCAGTTCTTGTGAAGTTTCCCTGAAAGTTTGAGCGAACAAGTTCACAATCAAAGTATAACATTTTTGCTAGCTAATGTGCATAGCATTAATCAGAGTGCAATCTATTCAATCTACCTGTCATGTAATGTAACAGCTGCCACAACTTTGCCACCGGACATTGATTTGTTATAAGTTTATTTTGTGTTAAACGTGTTAAACAGCAATAATGACATTACTGTTTGTCCATTAGGGATGTGATCTTTAAGTTCCACCCAGAACCACATTTTAGTTAATTGTCTTGCTTTGGGCTAATGATAAGATGTGTTTATTGGAAGAGCGCCTTTTGCCCACCTTATCTTGAAATTTGTTTTGGTCAAACTCTTACAAGTGGGACTGTTATGTAGGTGCCTATGTTCCTTTCCATGTGCTTGTCTTAATATCTAGTCTTTTGGTAGTTTCACCTAGTTTTTACACTAGTTTCTTTATTGCTCATTTTCACAAACTTGTAACATGTGGCTTATGTTGTTCATGCTTTGTTAGAACTCTACATGTTTTTTCCCACTTGGCTATTAGTTTTTGCTAGAGTTCATTTTCAAGTCGTTCTCCTTTATCCTTTGAAGATAGTCTCTTTGTGAGTTTGTTTTTGAGTTTTAGCTAGTTTTTGAATCTTCCTTTATATCAGAATGATTGGAATGTTGGTTCATATGTTAGAATTTAGCTTAGCTTCTTCCCTATAATATCATATTTCAGTTTATGACAAGTACTTGGATACCTCAACTACATTAAATAAAATGATTCAAGGCTTGTGTGTAAAATATATCCTCTCTTCATAGTGTGCAATCATTTGCGAAACTCATAGTTGTTGTTGAAAATTTGCTTTGCTTGTGTTGGCCATTACATGTAAAGAACACAAAACATTTTCGAACTACCATGTGAGCTTCTTTTGTTGATTCATGACAACAGCCCTGATGCATTTTACAGACTTATAAGTTTGGATAACCCAAAGGGGTCATGCAAATTGATGAAATGCACACAATACTTTCTATACATGTACCAAATAAAATTAATGTTCACCTCCTGACAATCATAAAATCTCTCGTTACTGGCACTGTGAATGTAACATGACAAGTAAAAATACATTATTGGTTACTCACCACTTTGGTTAACAGTATTACATATTTTTCAACTTTTTCTTGTGTGCTGCAACTCATATTTTCTGATTTTCCTGTTTTAATTAGAAATAAAAAAATAAGCAAACCTGTTCATGCACTCATCACTGGTCAAACTTTCACCTAATGATTGTTGGTATACTTTTTTGAATAGGTGATGAGTGATTATCAGTTTCATTTCTTTGTAAGGAGCAGAGTTAAAAACAAACAATAGAAAGTATGAATTAATAGGTAAAGTATAAATTTGATAAAAGACAGTAAGATATTTAATATTTAACTAGTAGATGCTACATACTGTAATGCAACATCATTTTGATTTTTTCAAGTACTGCTTCCAGAAGACTCTGTGGATAAGAAAAAAAACCATCATGCTTGTTATTTAAATCAATTAAATAAATTAACATAACGATGGACAATGACAAAATCTGGTAATTTTGAAAGAGAGCATACAACATATTTGATCAGTCAGAATAAAATTTGTATCAGTCAAGGTCCAGAAGGAACCTCAAAAAGGAGTGAAGTTTTTCTTGACAACTTCACTTAGCCTGAAGCCAGTTGCGCTAGAACATTTTTAACAGCAAGTGATCATTACAGTACTGTAATAATGATGATGATGAAGATGATGAGACTGACAATGATGGCAACCATGAAGATAACACTAATACTATTAGTAACTGTTAAAACAATAATGATATACAAAACAATGCTTCTTAACTGAAATTTAAGAAGAGAGGGAAAGTTAATTGTTTTAAAAAGTATGTAATTCAGAGAAAGAAAAGGCTACAAAGGAAGAATTCTGATTGTTCAGATGGCCAATAAAATTTGTGCTCTGGAAGAACAAAACTTAATTTGACACCCTTGACAAGTGTTTTAAATAGGTCTCCTTTCCCCACCAAAACAAGAATACAGGAGTAGAAAGACAGCCCTAGAATCAAACACTGTGAGAACCATTGAAGTTTGGTTACTGGTTTCAAAAAAAATAAGTGTTGAGAGGAAAGTACTGCTAAGGAAATTGGATATTGTGCAGCAACTAAGGTCATCACTCTCCTCAACCAAAGATTACAAACCACTGAGCCCCAAAATTATAATTCTGTTGCTTAATAGACAATAAAAGAACAAAGTACAGTCTGTCTTTTGATTGCTTCAGAGACATGGGTTCCTTCAAACAAGTACTAGAGAGTGACACAGCCTTACTATGTTGACAACAAAAGGCATCAAGAACAAAGCTTTACTACTATTTGAAGAGCAAGAAACTTGGTGGGCTAAAATCATTAACTGTTTTTTAACTAGTTTTTTTTTTCATACCACAGCTTGTGATGTAGGGTCAAACTCCTTCAGCCCATGGACAAGTAACTTTCTCAAAACTATTTCAAGAAGAAAGAAAGTCCTTCAGGTCATTTGTTAATAAAGGATTTTTGACACTGTTCTTGAAATTATACATAGAATTCATGTTTGTCAATAATGCTTAATTTCAAATGTCAATTGAAAGAAACAAATTATCCCACTCATTTTTTTTGTAATATTAGGGGAAAAAAGTTAAACACTTTCACAAAACTACAACAATTCTTGCAAATAATTTACAAAATCTTAGAAGGGGAGAAGTGGTCTTAGTGATTTTGCCTGATAGCCAGAGGGGTTTATCTGTGCTACATGAGCATTCCATTTAGGAGGAGAAGCACTGCCCCAATTTTCCAAATGCAATATTATAGAGCAGGATGACCCTCAGCAGTAATGGGCTAGTTGGCCCCTATCACTCAACCATATCCATATTCTCCTTTTTGGAGAACATGAGAATAAGGTCTCATTCCCTTTGAAGGTGCCTGTACACCTTAGACTTACACTTACACTTTTTTGGGAGACCCTTTACATGTTCCCCAATAACTATAAAATATGGCCATAAAATGGCACTTGGTGCAAAAGACCTATTAGTTTTCCACACCAAAATCAATAATTGTCTGTTATCAAAATGTTTTGTAATTCAAAAAATTTTCTATGAGAAAGACTTGAATGTATCATTAGGAGTACAATATTGATAAGGACTGAATTCAACCCATGTGATATTCAAATTTACGTTTCTTTACTGTAGTAATAACCATAAATGCATCTCCATATACATTTGGTACCTTTCAGTGCTAGGGAACTCAGTTCTAGTGGACCCAAACTTCTTGTGTACTCCTGCAAAAAAAAAAAAATAAATAAATAAATAAATAAATCAACTGAACTAGATTCACATGCAGTGAAACAAGAAATTTTTCATACACAATTCTCTTGCATCATAATGCAAATTGGGAGCTGGTTTGGGCACATTCAAACCATTTTTGCAAAGTGTAATACATTTTGGGTGTCTTATCTTATTGATTATGAACAAAAGATTCCCCTGTCATATGAGAGGAGCTACCATAACCACTGACATATTGCATAATTGCAGGTGTTTAATCATATAATAAGTCTCACACAAGGGAAGGTGCAAGGCTGGTCTGCCATAGGCCTTTTTTTCATGGGTATAAAGCACTTTCTTGCATATCGTATACTCTGCAAGAAAATGCCATTGATTTCTGTCCCTTGCCAGGCAGTCAAGCTGCTCCCTGTGTCCAGCCTCTGTCTCTTTAGGACAGCCTTTGTTTCATCTGTGGTAAAGAGAATTACTCTAGATGTGTCTGATGTTGGTATTCTAATCCATCTCAAGTTCTTCTGTGCAGCTCATTGTTAGAGATGAAGCAGATAATTCTTCACAGGCATCTGTTCTAGAAGACTTCTAGCTTGTAACTGATGTTCTTCATCACCTCTTGATTGATTAAATTGACATATAGCAGAGTGGTCTATTCTTTTTTCTGCTCCAGAATCTGCCTCAGGGTAAACACATAATCTGAGCAAAACCATCCATGGGAAAAGCCTGCTTGTTGCTGTCTTAATTACCCATCCAAGGCTTGTGCTTGTGAATGATTCCCCTTTCCAGATGTTGCATTTCACTTGATCTACTACCTTGGGCAACTTCACTTTAAGTCCTGTCTTCCATATTTCAGGGATTTGCTCACTTTCTTATATGGCCCTGAATGTGTTAGTATTGTGGGGTATTTCTATTTCTTCAGCTTTAAACATTTCTGTTGGCATTACATCTTCCTCAATCAGTTGCCCTTCTGCCCTCCATTGATGGCTGCTTTCATCTCTAACAAGGTACATGTAGGTGAGTGATGATAGTGACAAACTCTTATTAGAAAAAGTAAATGGTGACCAGCATTTGGTGATGAAAGCTCCTTGATTCCATGAGAGCAAATGTTTTGTCATTGTTTAGGTAATTTTTTGTTTTTCGTAATTGGTAAGGAATATAATTGTTAGTTGAGATGGAGGTGCAACTGATGACATCCCTCACCTCCCAGGAAAGGAGGATACATTTGGAGGAATTAGCAATTGATTTCAAAGACTATTGCTGACTTCACTAATTATGTTGATGTCTGAGAATGTTAAGGCAGTAACAGACCAACCATAAACCGTTTACTACAAACTATTTCTCAGTGGCATGACCCTGTGGAGGCAGATTCCAAAAAAAAAGGCAACAAAAAGTGCAGAAGGAAGAAGCACCTGGTAGAAGGGCTAGTTGTGTGAATCTTTCTAAATTACAGTGCCATCTTAATGAACTATAGGAAAGACCATCATCCTGTTGGGATGATGTTTTTGTAGTTTAAGTTGGGTGGTTGTTGGCTAAGTTCATATATATTGATAAAGACGTAATCAATTACTAACTCCACACAAATCACATTTACATACTCTTCTATCACAATTTTTCCAGACAACAATGAACACTGACAGAGGGAAAACCAATAACAATGCTAGAGGATGTAGTCATATAACCCTCATTTGGTCTATGAGCATCCTTGGTAGATAAAAATGAAGCAACTCCTTCTGTATGAGTCTTTTGCAAATCAGATCTACTCTAATCCAGATGATTGCATCTATGTCTTTTTTTGGTCGGGTTTTTATCTGCTGTACCTGATCTCACAACCAATGTTGCAAACCTCAACCACTTTGGTTGCTTACTAAAGGTAATTAAAAAATTTTGGCAACTAAATTTACATCAAGGGTCACAATATGGGTTATGACTGTCACAGTAATTCTAGCTGTGAACTCTTATACTCTAACAAAAGGTTTGGATATATCTATGACTCTACCTATACCATTTTTCTGGTTGGGTATTTGTCTGCTGTACCCCATCTCACCAGCAGTGTCCCAAGCCACAAACACTTTGGTTGTTAAGGTAATTGAAGAATTTTGGCAACTAAATTTGCAGTGATTCTAGTTACAAACTCTCACACTATCACAAAATGTTTGGATGGGGGCATATTTGGATAACAGAAAAGAGGCATGAAAGATACCTGAAATATTATGAAGGAAAGCTGAATAAGCCTTTATCATTGCCTCTGGATAACAACAATTGTGAGAATTAGGATCAGTGAGACAGAGAAAGCAATAAGTAGAATTAAAAATCTGACAGGACTTGGCAAGGAATATAAAGTTTTTATTCCCGTTGGATGGTAATGTACAATTCACCTTAACTTGGAATGCTTCTAAAAGAGATGCTGTCTTGCTCTGCCACAGGTGTAAAATATAGCCAAAAATATCCAAAGTCATCTAAACAAGAGAAAATATGAGAGTCAATAATAAAAAATAAGCTACATAACTGTGTCAATAAAAAAAATTGCTTGAATTTGAGTGGTTCTCAACAGCCCTTATATATGGCTTATTTGGCTGTTTCAAGTCATTTACTATGCCATTTATAAGGGCTGAACCACTCATATTCAAGAATTTTGTTAATGACACAGTTATGCAGCTAATTTTTATATATGGCTTAATTGGCTGTCATACTTCACCAACCCAATTATAAGTGTTTGTGATTAGACATGCAAAATCTGACAGGTAAGCAGCCAATAAAATTAAGCATTTTAAGACATCAGCCAATAAAACTCAAATATGTCACTAATGCTGGCCCATCAACATTAAAAAATTACTTCTGGAGTGAGCAAGTTGAGAGGTCCATGATGAAATAAACTAAACATGATAATGTAAACAAAAAACATAAACTAAACAAGATGACATGTTTATAGTTTATAGTTTTTAAATGTTTTAGATATTACTATCATTAGCTCTTAGGTATTATTCAATTTGTAAGTTTGTACATTCGATTCGAATTTTAATGAAAATACGTAATTCAGCTCTATGAGCTGCATTACGTATTTTCATTAAAATTCTAATCTAAATTCTAACCTAAATTCTAATTCTTAAATGTTTTAGATATTACTATCATTAGCTCTTAGGTATTATTCAATTTGTAAGTTTGTACATTCGATTAGAATTTTAATGAAAATATGTAATTCAGCTCTATGAGCTGCATTACGTATTTTCATTAAAATTCTAATCTAAATTCTAACCTAAATTCTAATTCTTAAATGTTTTAGATATTACTATCATTAGCTCTTAGGTATTATTCAATTTGTAAGTTTGTACATTCGATTAGAATTTTAATGAAAATATGTAATTCAGCTCTACGAGCTGCAATGTATTTCAATAAAGAATCTATCTATCTTATCTATCATAAAAATTAATGAAATAAATGAACTTTAATAGATTGGCTGATTGCTTTTTTCACTACCAGTAAGAAGGCCATGTGCTCCTGCATTAAAAATTTTTATTCCTGAGTTTGTCGCATTTTGTTATCAACACAAGACATAATTGGACTTAATGGCATACAATTCAGGGTTAATTGTGATTGTAATTTAAAATTATCCTTGCACCACATTGGCCAATTTTAAACTACTGCCTCCAAGTAATTCTGCACTACAAAACAATAAAAAGTTTAAAAACACATATGCTTGGCTAATGTCCTTCCCATGAGACCTTTGCCATTCTTGTTGCTGTTGTGGTTTGCTTAATGTCCCTAAGTAGCTAACTTGACCTGCTACTTGTTTTACCAAAACAATTCTATTCCTAGGGATAAACATTTTATTTCAGTTGTCAGTTTAGAGCAAGGTATATTAATATTTTGGTAGACTATCGCCTTATTATCTGATTATTACATGATAAACTGAATTATAAATGCTGACCACATTTTGAGATTCAAAAGAGCAAATTAAGCTTTTGAAAATTATCTTATTAAGTGCTCAAAATTCAGCAATAGATGCCATCATTTTGAATAATGCTCCATGAATCTAGCTACTTAACTGACCAAGAAATAATCTCACTCCTTTTCTTTCCACTGGGGTCTGTTTCAAAAGTTAGATCATTCAGTGTGTGTGGCCAGGTTTTTCAGTTGCTTTCAAAATGTCATCATCATTTTAAAACAATTTGAAAACAGTTATGTTACTATTAGAAATCTAAAAAATGGAGTTTGAAGTAAATATTTTAATGTACCAGGTAATGTTCTTTAAGTGAGGAATATAGAATTTTCTATTCTCTGTTGCCTACTTCTTTTTAACTTCACCCTTTAATGCTCCTAAATGAGATATTATTATGTTACCTTTCTAAATAGTTGTTTATCAGGGATCAATCTCTTGGATGCCAACATTTTAACCACATGATTCAGGACCAGTAAACTCCGCTGTTGATGCAGTGGATCTTGGCTTTTCACTTCCTATATTGACAGATTATGTAAAGAGAGAAATTACATGAAGAAGAATGTTATTACTACATAATGCAATGTATTCAAACCTAAGACTTGTGATTCTCTTTGAGTGCCAACACCTTTTAAAAGCTTTTCTATGTTTGAAACAAAATTATGGTGTTCAGGTGACTTTTTTTCATTTGGTGAATCTTGTTTTAATTGTCTGAAACATTTTTGACCTTTAAAGTACAACAAAGACACCATCCTTCTATCCATCTCAAGAAATTATTTTCAAACATCATTCAACGCTTGTTCTTTTGTTGTTGTTGTTTTTCTATAAATGTAAAAAAAGTGTCAAAATTCTTTTAACAAGCAGCAGCAGCAGCTAGTCTATCCGTGATGATGCTTACATATACTGCACAGTTATATCTGAGAGATCTGCTTGACATGTTAAAATGATATTTCTTGTTCTACAGAGATTTACTGACTATTGATTTCAATCATTTCAAATAATGAAAGAAAGTGATTGCTAATTCAAGTCAAAGAATACCTATGGCCAACTTGGGGATAAAGTAATCTAGAAATGAAACATGGTTTTTTGTTTTACTTAGAATTAGTTGTTTTGTAGCAAAATTTGCGTTCTAAAGATTAGTGACTAAAAGAACTCCAAAAAAAAAATAGACACTTTGACTTTGCTCAAAAGCTTCCAAAGTCATGGAGAAATCTAAAATGATAGTAACTATCCATTTCCAAAGAATAATAAATGCATACCTCGGGTAGTCTACAAAAATAGTACAAGAGAATATCCTGCATTTATCAAAAATATGTTTGCAAAGTTCATCAAATTTAGATGATGTGATCCAAATATTCCTTTGCCTGCACAAGCCAAATTATATTATTTTCCACTTCTATCAAGTATGCCATGTTTTGTCTCACAGCCACTCTATAAATATTTGCATTGTAATGCAATGATCTTTGTTTACAAGGTTTTCCCCTTTTGCATCAAACCTCTAAGTTGTTCTGCCTAATACACCTACAGATACAGAATGCACTTTATGTGGCTGCAAGTTTTTTTTTCCCATAATATTTCCATGATAATGGTGTCAAGGTCAAGTGAGTTAGGTACTACCACAGTGTCAATCAACAGTGTCTACACCTGAGTAACTGAGTAAGTGACTCACTTGCATATTGAAGTCCCCCTTTAAATACAAATGTTTCAACCCTGAGAGTGAGCACACTACTACAGAGCCATCACCTTGCTCAAATGACAGTGATCAATGCACAAGATCAGAGTGCATGTAAGTTTTATAAACAAGTTTTAGCAACTTTGGTCTGTGTAATACTACTGACTACCTTTTGAAAAATTAAGCTTTCCATTTCTTTTTCTTAAATTTTTGGGAAATGAGTTAAGTAACCATATTCCAGGGCAAAGACAACTAGAGACAATCAGCTCTACAGCAAAATACTGCAGTTGGGGAACATCACCAATCTGGAGGTATAGTGTTTAACTTTTCAACAACAATAGTCAATTTTGGTTGCCAAGCCTTTTAAAAGGAGTCAGGCTAAGGGTGACCATGTTATAATACAAACCTTGCTGCTTTTCAAATGTATATTGCTTTGTTATTATGCTAAATAGGCAACTAAGTATACAACTGTAAAATGGCCTATTGTGGCCCAATACCTACTGCACAAGCTTTAATGAAAATGATAAGAGATGAAGTGATAAGTTCATGAACAGGTGTTTCAATACAAAGGTACACATTCAAACCTTCAGTAAGCATGGCAATAGCTCTGGCCAATCCCCCAATCCCATTCTGGCAATTTTTGAGATCAACACTGCTACCTGGGTAATCACCTGCAAAAAGAAAAATAAATCAGGTGAATTACTAACCTCAGTTCTCATTAGTTTTATACGAAAGTGATAAATCTGTTTTTCAAGAGCCTCATCTATTTATTGCAATTTTGTTAGTTTAGTGCAATTTTTTCTCAAAATGACAGTCTGTTCTTATTAATGGCCTGAAGATGGATGTCTGTCCTTAAGGGTGATGGAGGTTAGATGAGTGCTGGAAAGTTTTGTTTTGCTCATAACAAGAGAAGAGAAAATAGAATAGCAAGGCTTTTGGGTTTAAATCTACACTACTACTTCTTTGAACTTGAGTTTAAAACAAGGCTTTGAGCCAAAATAGTTATTGGGGCTGTCATGAAGCTTGTCCCTGAAATAATATAAGCTACCAAGATAAAATAGCCAGGATTTTGGGATTTTGTGTTTAAAGTACTACTCCTCAGAATTAGAGATTAAAACATGACTTTGGGTCTAAATAGCTCCTGGGACTGTAAAGAAATGGGTCCCTGAGGTGATTCACATGTGAGTGAGTGAGAATTGCACATGCATCTGAGGACAGTTTACATTAAAATTTGTCGAACTATGGAAAATGGTCCAACTGACAGAAAGGCCTTACATGAGAAAGGTCATACTGGCAATTAAGGTGCACTAACTAAATCAAATGGTCCAACTAGAACAAAAGGTCTAACAAGAGAATATGGTCTGACTGGTTAAAATGGTCATACTGGTGAAAATGGCCCAGCTACATAAAATGTCCCATGTGCTAGGAATGGTCTGACAAGAAAAAGTTGTCAAACAGGCTAAAATGATCCAACCAGTTAAATGGTCTCACTAGAAAAATGGTCCAACTAACAAATATGATCACAATAGTTAAAAAGATGCAACAGATGAAAATGGTAAAAATGGTCCAATCGCTTAGATGATCTCACTACATAAAATGGTCCAAGCACTTAAAAAAGTCTTATTCAATAAAATCATCATACTGAAAATATTCTAATTACATGAAATGGTTCATCTGGTACAGATGGTCTAATTACAGAAAGTGGTCCAGCCACTTAAAATGGTCTTACTTGATAAATGGTCATACCAGCAAAGATGTCCTAGTTACATAAAATGGTCCAACAGCTAGAAATGGTCTAACCAGAGAAAATGGTCTAACCAGAGAAATGATAAAACTGTGCCCAGGCAAGTAATAAAATGCAACTTGCCGTTAAAATTCTGACTAATGAGATTCATCTGGCCAAACAAGGAGCAAAATAGCTCACAACATGATTGCATAACAAAAGACACTCATGTCTGATGAAACCCAATCTGTCAAAAATCAAAACAGGGTAAATCAGCTGCTGAGTAACTATGAAATCAGCCAATGGCAGCCAAATGGATATGTTCAAATGATCTCAATAACAAGAATTAAACTGCTAAAGCTGTGCAACAAAATATTTCCATATCTATCATTGCAACTGTTGTCATTGTTGATTGAAGACTATGAAACCTGCTTCTTTCCAGTTGAGTATTCTTCTGTGCATTTCCCCTTCATTTGTGAGGTCTAAAAGGGTATATTTTTTCAAGGTGGAAGAGAAAAAAAAGGAAAAACAAGCTAGATGATTTTATCAGACCGCCCAACCACAGTTGCTATATTGAATTATGTACTCTGGTAAAACTTTTGGCCTTTTAACAACCCCAAGATATTTAAACAGAAGATAGTAGAACCACTTTAGGGAAAGAAGCAAACCTATCAGGGAAGGTAGGAGAAAACACATTTAATCCACGTTTTCATGCATAAATTAATTAATTGTCAAACATATCAAACTCAAGTGAGATAGCGTGTGAGTGATTTTCCCATCCTTACCAAAACCTCATGATATGACCCCTGAAAATGGTTCAGCCAGTTAAAATAGTCTACCTACAGAGAATGGTACAGCTGGTAAAAAAAAAGCAGAAAAAATGGTCCATTTGGTTAAAATGATCCAACCCGTAAAAATGGTCCAACTGGTTAAAAAGGTCTAACTAGAGAAAATAGTCACACTAAAGATAATGGTCCAGCTTGTTTAAATGCTCCAATTGGTTAAAGTATGTTAACTAGAAAGAAATGGTCAAACCCCTTGAGATGGTCTAGATAGATAAAGTGGGCCAACTGGTTAAAATGGTCCAATTGGTCACCATTATTTTGGCATCAAACAACTGGTTTGAGTTAACAAATTTGGGGTTTCTTTGCTAAGCAAAATGCCACTGTTTTTTAGTGACATATTGAGGTATCTCTCAATGCTATGTCTGAGTGAAAGTTGAGTTGCCCTACCATAATTCCTGCTATCCTTGTTAATAACCTTGGCATAAAACTGATGGATATTTTCATCTATTTCTGACAGTGTTGACAGTGTCATTTTGGCTTTTTGTTGCAAGAATTATTTTTTATTGTTTGTAAAGTATAATGAAAATTGACTTCTACTGTTTTAACCATCTGTATTAACTATAAGTATGCAGGCATAAATACAACAGATTTTTGAAAAATCAGGGTGCTTGTAGCATAGGAGTTATTTTATAAGATGGTCTACCAAGATGAACTGGTTCAAATAGTCTAACTGGGTTCAACTGGTCCAATTAAATTGTCCAACTGGTTAAGTGGCCTCACCAGTTAAATTAGTCTAACTCCAAAAATTGGTCCAACTTCTTTAAATCACCAGAACAGTTAAAATGGTCCAACCATATTAAATAGTCAAAGTGGTAATAAATGGTCTTACTAGAATAAATGGTCCAACTAGTAGAAATGGTCAGGTAGATTGAAGGTCAAACTATTGATGTAGTCTAACTATATAAATGGTCCCATGGTTTAACCAAATCAAATGATCCAGCTAGTTTAAATATTAAAACATAATCCAACTGGTTAAAATGGTGTAACCAAAAAATATGATCTAACTACATAAAATTCTCCAAATGATAAAAATGGTCCAAAAAGATAAACCTACCCACCTGGTACAAATGGTTTAGTTTAAGGAAATGGTCTAGCAAGCAGTAAATGCTCTAACTAAGGAAAACAGTCCAGCAGATGGAAATAGTCTAACTATAGAAAACATACCAACAGCTAACATGGTCCAATCAGTTAAAATGAACTTATTACATAAAATAGTCCTAATGCTTAAAATCATTTTCCTGGCTAAAATAGTAATACTGTTGAAAATGGTCATAATGCATGAAATGGTCCAATTGGTAAAAGTGGTCTAACTAGAGAATGGTCCACTGGTAAATACAATCCAACCAGTTAAAGCAATCAAACTGGATAAAAGGTCAAGCTAGTTAAATGGTCTAAAATGGGGCAACTGGTTCAAATGGTTTAACTAAAGAAAATGGTCCAACTTGTCAAAAAGCTTGAACAAGTTAAAATAGTCAAATCAGTTAAAATGGTCCAACCACTTATGATGCTAAGAATCACAAGAGGAACTGGTCCAATCAATTAAAATGATCAACTGGTTTAAATAGTGACACTAGTTAAAGTGGTCTACCTAAAAAAAATTGTCCAACTGCTTAATATAGTCTAACTAGACAATAGGGTCCAACACGTTCAAATAGACCAATTCATTATAGCTGGAGTAAGAAGATAAAATGGTCTAACTGGTGAAATGGTCCCACTTCAAGCTCTAACTGGTTAAAATGCTTTAACCTGTTCAAATTTGTCTGACCAGAAAAATGTCCAACTGGCGAAAATGAACCAAATGGTTCAAATGGTACAACTAGAAAAATGGTCGTCGAACCTGGTGAAAAGGATCCAACAGGTTTACAAGGTCTAACTAGAAAAATGGCTCTACTGGTTAAAATGACCCAAACCATCACAACGACCCAACAGTTTATAAACCTCTCAACACAAAAAATTTATTTTTCATCTTCAACATGCAAATTTTCATCACGAGAACTGATTTTTTCAAACCTTACATAACATCATTACTTTAAATGTTACCGTTAGAGTGAACAAAAAAAATTTGAATTCAGGCACAAACCCAAGACTGTAAACTGCTTTCATTGTTTACAATCTGATGTGGAACAAGAACATGTAAACAGTTAAAGTTTATTAGCTGATTGATTTTATTCGATTATCTCGTGTAAACATTGGTGGCTGTGTTGATCAGTTAAACTTTTGCAGACAAAAATAAGCCTGTGCTTTTCTGAGATAAAAGAAAACTTGTTAATTCGCTGCCTCATAGTTTTGATTTCTATCAGTCACAAACACTTGTAGTCACTTAGAATGCCTTCTAAAGTATATTGTTCGAATTTTAAAAAACTGATTAAATAAAGAACGATGCTAGGCACATGTAGATATGGAATTTCTCTCCCAGTGTTCAACTGAATAGCTCACGAGTCTGGTGTCCAGTTGAACATGAAAAAAGAAATTCGATATCTACAGACAGCCATGTATAATTTTGTTTAGCATGTAAACACAATAGCCCTTCACTGACAAGAAAAGTTGACTTCATTAATGAACAAAACCACAGGATTGACAATCTCCCAATTAAAAATCATAATGTGTGTGGGCACTAAGGCTCAAGATGAAAAAAAATGCATTGAATCACAACAAAACCAACCATGGGCACAAGTTCAATATACAATATTCTCAGTTACTGACTTTGTCCCTACTGACAGAAAAAATCTTTCAAGTATACAGCCAAACCTGTGTGTGGCAAATCTACAAAATGTCAATTTTTGTTCTCAGCCATGCACCAGATATGCCATTACCAAAGCCACTGAATACATAATGTTAAGTTTTTCTTTTCCCATTTTAGTGTCCTTCCCCTTCTAAGAAAGTTTGAAGGTCACTGTCTGTAAGCAATACAGATTTTTAAGTGTTTTAGCAGCCATGATCTGAGAAAATTCTGACAAACAACCATAGATGGGATTGAGAATGGTGAAGGTTTTGTCATTTATTCATCAACATGACTGTGAGGGGCGTGAAAGGTGAGTGACATGTCAGTAACTGATTGGCTATATCAAACACAAGAAAATATCGTATCTTTTCATGTGTGTTG